CACATGGGCATGATCATTGCCGTCGGCGTTGCCACTACCAGAACCGTCGTTGGCCTTGACGCCGCCATCGTCCTTATCGCCACACCTTCGCTGCTACCACAACCGGCGTCGCTGCTGCCGACGTCATCGCGATGCCGCGCCGGCCCGAGCCGCCGACCTGCCTTGAAGCGCCCGCGCGTCAGCGCGGCCATCGATAGATGCTGGGGCGCTGCCGCGGGCAAGCGCCATCGCGGCCGCGTCGGTTGCGCCCGACTAGCCGGTCGCCCTGCGCGCGAGCTTGCGCGGGCGAGCGCGGCCGCGGAGATGCGCTAGCCACGGCCGAACAGCAACCCGTCGCCATCGCCTCCGCGCGCTTTTGCTAACCAGCTTGCGGGTGGACGGATTAGATGACTGCGCAAGCAGTGGAGCTGACAACTCCAATTCCGCCACAATACGTAGCGCCGCGCAGATGGCCCCACGTAGATTCTCCTGTCTGGCAGAAGAAATACAGCCAACATGTCTCCGATGCCGGAATTATCCCTGCACCCTGAGACATTGCAAATCGCGGCTGGCTGTGCCTCGTCGTTGATTTAGCACGTGAATCCATGTAATCCCAAGAAGTCCCCCTTAACGCCAGCCCATCTCGCCCCTGCCAAACACAATCATGCGCGCGCACTCGCTCATCTCAAAGTCCTTCCAAAACCGCTGGTCGGATTCCGAGCTCGAGGGCCCCGAAAACATGACCACGCATCCAAGTTCAGAAAAAATGAAGACAACGCGGGTGCGCGCGCGGGCGCTCGCAACTCCTCAGGCAACCAATTGTGCGTGTGCCCACAAATATGTCAAATGTGACCACGCGGGCCTCGCGCGCGCTCGCGTCGACGCCAGTCGAGCGCCCTCGCGCGCTTGCCAGGGTGGGCGATGCCCCTGTCAAGTGTTCCAAGGCGGTGCGCTCGCGCGCGTCGGCCGCGCGCGGCGCGCCCAAATCTTTCCAAAACCTTTATCATCGACGCATGGACATTATCACCGTCGTCGTCGGCGTCGCCAGCCTCGGCGGCGCCGTTGGCCTAGCCGTCGCCATCGTCAACATCGCCACTGCAATCGCTACTATCATCACTGTTTCCGCCCGCGCCGACGTCACCGCAGCACCGCGCCCGCCCGAGTCGCCGACCCGCAATGAGACGCCCGCGCGCCGGCGCGGCCTGTGAGCCGCATCGGGGAAGCCCCATCGGCAAACGCCACCGCGGCCAAGTCGGCAGCGCGAAACTAGCTGGCCGCGCCGCGAGCGAGCTGGCGCGCGCTGGCGCGGCCGCGGGAAAGGGCCAGCAGAACCGAGCAATCGTCGCAATCGCCGCCGCATGGATTGCGCAAGCAAAGCTGCTGGCGGGAAGGCGGGGCGATTGCGCGAGCAGTGGATTTGGCGCCTCCATGGTCTTCCCCAGCAATTGCGCCACATAGAGTCTGCCTTCTCTGGAAAAAAATGGGAATCAACGCCCCTGTATTCGCGGCGCCCCCTGGGAGAATGCCCTGCGCGAGCGATTCTGCCCCATCGCCCATCTTGGATACGCGGTCGCGCCATCGGAACCGAACCAGTGCCGACGCTCCCCTCGTCCTCATCAATCAATGCGACGCGCGCGCGCTCGTCCATCAAACATCATGAGATGCCAAACGTCCCCCGCAACCGGAAAATGCAACAAAGTCTGCGCGCGCGAGGTGTCGCGCGCGCGCGCCGCAACTCGTCAAGAACAGCGGGTTCCGCGCGGATTTCAAGATCGAGGTTCCCGACGCCATGTGCGTATATGAGTATGTAATACCATTTGATGTTGCAGCATGATTTCTCCAAAGACCTCGCAAGCGCGCGCTCTTGCGAATTCAAAAGAAAACGATTATTTGTTCCAGCGGTTGCATCCAATGCGACCGAGCGGGCCTCTCGCGCGCCCAGGTGGCAATCATTTGAACGCCTTGGCGCGCGTGCTGGAGAAGGGCGGCCCGTGGAATGGCGCCCCGCAGGCCACTCGCCCGCGTCGGCCGCGCGCGCGCCTAAGCCCCTTTCAGATATCTTCGGGGCGGATGCGCGGGCGCCATCGCCCTCGTCGGCGCGACCAACATCGGCGCCGTCGCTGGCCTTGCCGTCGCCATCGCCACCATCGCCACGACAATCGTTACTATCATCGCGACAGCCGCAGTCGACGTCGCCGCGAGACCGCGCCCACCCGAGTCGTCGCCGACTCGCACTGAAGTGCCCGCGCGCCGGCGCGGCCGGTGAGGCGCGCCGGGGCGCCCTCGCTGGCGAGCGCCAGCGCGGCCGCGTCGGTCGCGCCAGGCTACCTGGCCGCAATGCGCGCGCGCCTGCGCGCGCTGGCGCAGCCGTGGGGGCGCGCCAGGCAGCAGTCATCGCAGTCGCCGCCAACTGTGTTTGGAGACCTAGCTGCGGGCGGGCGTGCGGCGCGATTGCGCAAGCAGCAAAGTCAACTACTCACCGGGGGGGGAAACAGTTGCACCGCGCAGATAGCACCGCGTAGCTTACACTGAAGGGGTCGCGACGCACAACGTGCATTGTTTGGGAAAAGATAATGCCACGAGGCGCGCGCCACTTGTGTTCCCCTTCCTAAGGCGAAATGGAAATCCACCACCCCGCCCCCTACGGGCGTATCCGCGCGCCCCGGGGTGGTCCAGACTACGCGCATGATGCGGCTTCGTCGTAAAATTTGCACGCGGGCTCATGCCGCGCCAGGGGCGCCCGAATCGGCGCCCCCCATCGTCGCCGTCAAATGGCACAATGCGCGCGCGCCCGTCCATCGCAGAAGACCAATGTTCGAAAACACCCTGCAAACTAACGAAGCAAAGTCCACGCGCCCGCGTTGGCGCGCGCGCCAATCGAACGCAGCGCGCAAGCCTGAGGCGCCTGGGAAAATCCCAGATCGCGGTCCCCGATTCTGTGTCGACACAACGCGAATCTTAGTTTTCCTTGAAAAAGCATGCGCGCTCTTGAAAAAAACGCTACGAGATGCGCGAGTTGCTCAGCTTGTGTCTCCCATGCGACCGCGCGGGGCCCCCGCGCGAGCATGGCTAAATCATTCAGGCGCCCTTCCGCGCCTGCTGGAGGGGGCGCGACCCCTCTCGAACCATGCCCAGCGAACCGCTCGCGCGAGTCGGCCTCTCGCGCATGTCCAAAGCCTTCATCGACGACGCATGGGCATCATCATTTCCTTCGGCGAGACTAACATCGGCGCCGCGAGCGGTCTTGCAGTCGCCCTCGTCATCGCCGTGACCATCATCGCTACTATCGTCATCGTTTCCGGCGTTGCCGACGTAGCCAGGGCGCTCCGCCCGCCCGAATCACCGACCCGCGCTGACGCGCCGCGCGCGAGCGCGGCCTGTGAGACGCGCTACCGCGGCCACCTCTGCAACGCCCAACCAGCCGGTCGCTCTGCGCGCGACCTAGCGCGCGCTAGCGCGGCCTCAGAGATGCCCCGGCCCGCCAATGCCAAGCAGTCGTCGCAATCGCCGCCGCGCGGGTCCAAGCCGCGTCGCGGGTGGGAGTGCGGGATGTTCGCGCGAGAAATGGCATTGACAACAGACTGTCTACAAGCATGAACTGCACCACGCAGATTGCGCCTCTTAGGGTGCTGGACCACTCTGCTTGGGGTCCACGCAGACTAACCCGTTTCCTAGCATTGCTGTGCATTGTGTAGCGCATTCAATATTTCGCGCATTCATGGATTCGCATCTTTGGCGCCGATGTTTGAACTGACACAACTTACCGACATGACTACGTATAAAAATAACGAAAAATTGCGGCTCGATGTCCCGGCCACTGTAGCGGTCCGAGAGCTCCCGCCCGTTATAAGGGCCTCGCAGCCGCAGACGTGCAAACGCCCCAGCCTGAGGCCCACGATCTCCGACGCATGGGGGGTCGGGGGGCCATTGAAGCGAGATTTGTTGTAATATATATATATATATATATGTATACATATGCATATATGTATTTATAGATATATATACACACTAATGTTCCTTTTTATATAATTTTTTACAATCCGGGCGGAACGCGAAAAGGGTCCACCCCCCCCTCCCCCGAAACCGGACTCCCGGGATCTGGGGCTTTGGGACCCTTTGGACGGGCCTCGAAGCGGCCCTTCGGGCCTCGCAGGGCGTTTTGCCAAGCCCTCCCAGCACACCTAAGGCGATCAGGGGGGTCATCGGAGACGTCCCAGAGACCCCCAAGACAGCGCAAGAGCGCTCCAAGAGTGACCGCGTGACCTCCGGATGGCCCAAGAGGCCTCCAGGACGGCCCCAAAGAGGCCTCCAAGAGCACTCCCAAGAAAGCCCCAAGAGGCACAATTCATGGATTTCCTGTTGGTTGTTGGTGAATTTGGGGGTTTTCCTCTTTTCGGCTTCCCGACGCTCCAAGACGGCGGTCTTCTGGGCGTCCGAAGCCGCCTGGGAAGCTCCAATATCGACCCACAACCATCCGAAAGGGCTTCCGGGCACTCCAACAGAGCCCCAAAACAGCACAACACGGGTCCAAGATGGCCCTCAGAGAGCCCCATGGCGGCCTAAGATGGCCCCAAGACACCCTCCGAAGCATTCCAAATCGTGACCCGGTCGTTCAGGGAGACCGCGGTTGGAGGTAGGGTGGCCCGAGGAAGCCCCCAGAGGCCCCCTGCAGAATACGCCCAGGAGGCCTCCCCAAGGCCTTAAGAAAGCCTGAAACAACTTCTGTGAAGCCCCCAGAGGCTCTCCAAGGAAGAACCTCCGCAAAAAAGAGCTGCGGATGATGGGGAGAATGCGCACGGTATGGCGAAAATGAAAAAACGTGGAAGAAAGATAACGAATAACCTTGATAGAGCGGCGATGCCGGCAAAGGCAACAAGGAGTTATCGCTAAATTGTCGGCTTGACCTTCCTGCTATTCCGCCTGCACACCAAACTTCAAGGACCAAGGTGCATGGCGCGAAGCGCCAATGCAGTCTTGTATATATATATATATATACATGTATAGCCAAATCAACGACTAGCTAGAGCCGGGTATCTCCCAGGGGTCGATGAACCGATATCTTCTACAAGTGCAAGAGAACACTCAAAATATCTCCCATGATTCCCACGCCTCGTGGATGAGATCAATCGTGCAAGTATTGCCCATTTCCTGCCTGAGCTCGCTCAATGGACGGCTGCAACCCATTTCGCTGGAGAACTTGACAAGGTCGTGCGCTACATCGATTAGGAGGCTTGCGTCTAACGGGGACGGGTCATCGGCAGAACTGGCATTGTTGGCTTTCCCAGTTGAGGGCGTAGTCCCAGTCAGCGGGCTGGCTCGAACTATTCCCGCCTCAGCGTGGACCCATTAGAACTCGTTGAAACTCTCAGAGGTCTCACCCGCACCGCAGGCTACGTCGCTCGGGAGGGCGATGCCAACGCCCTTGGTCTCGGCGACGTTGTCGTACTGCGGGATCTCGGACACGCCACTCTGGAGGGTGATTGCGACGCCTGTGGACTCGGCGTAGTCGTAATACTGCGGGCTCTCGGACACACCCATCTCGGACGCCTTGATCTCTTCGGTCGCTTGTGGGCCGATGTCCCTCCGAACCAGCCGTTGTGGACCTCCTCCGCGGTCATGACCTCGAACTTCACACCTTTGCCGCCCGCGGGGAGACCGTCGCCGTAGGCCACGGCACTCGGAAGGAGGAGCTCGACGCTTGGCCCTGGCCTGCTCCTCCAGCGTCTCTTTGCCGTTGAAATCCGCAGACTCCTTCTGGCTAGTTGTCATATCTACGGACTTCGAGGTGTGGTTGTGCGTGTATTGGCATTTGTTTGCATTGTTTTGCGTAATTTGGCATTGCTATGCTGTGCTTGGCATTATAATGATTGGCTTTGCTTGGCGTTGCCTGGTGTTACCTGCCAGTGCTAAGCACTGCTTAGCAGTGCGTGGCGTTGCTCGGCATTTCTGAGTATGGCTTGGCGCTGCTTGGTATCGCTTAGAATTGCTAGATCCCAAGAAACAAGAAACATGGCTAAGCATCCTGAGGCACGCAGTCAAGAAGCAATAACAAGCAGCCAGAGGAAGACAATCAAGAAACAATACCAAGCAATCGGCAGACAGCAATCAAGGCACAATCCCAATTCATTCCAGGAGCGCAATCAAAAAACAAACATTGCATGACCATATTGCTCATGTGAAGAAACAACGGAATACGCCAGAGAGTCCCGATCGCGCGGAATGACTTGAACTAACATGGCGACGCACGGAGGTAAGGAGGAAGGGGCGAGAGAAGGGAGAGACGATTTGCGCTCGCGCCAAATCTGACACCCTACCCCTCCCATCCATCCATTCCCACTGTACTGATTTCAATACATTTGACGACGGACTTCATAGCGAACCTTGCTTCCTTAACAAGACTCCATCGTGTTATGCACAGTTAGAAGGGTGCGGTGTACACTGGAAGGGAAGGAGGAGGTGGCGGATGAGCAAGATGATGAGCAGGAGGAAGAGGATGGGGAAAGAGGACCAGGAGAAAACAGCAGCGGCAGGAGTAGGAGCAGGAAGAGCGGGAGGAGCAGGAGGATCAGTGGAAGGCGATTGAGGGGACAGGAGCGGGGCGACAACGACGATGGACTTGGATCCAGAATTATGGCCCGCGCTGAAGAGAGAGCGCCATGTTGAACGACGGGAGTCAAGAACTGATTCTTAAACGACGCCGGCGCTGCAACGGGAACACCATTTTAGAACAGCGCAAACGTCTGATTGAATGAAGACATATTAAATTCTACCTCTTGAACTCCTACACGTGAGGGTCCATATGCGGGAAAAAACGAGCCCCGCTCGAACAGGATCCGGGAAGAGAGGAAAGAGAGTAGTCATATGGAGTAAGTGCGGAGTTGGAGCAGGGGGAGGAGTGAGGAGGCGAGAGGACGACTGGAAAGGAGCAGGGAGGGAGGGTGGGAGGGAGAGCAGGGAGGGGAGAGAGGGGAGGGGGAGGATGAAGGAGGACGGGGAGGAGGGGGCGGACAGACGAGGATGGGACGAAGTGGGAAGAAGAGGGATGAGTCCGAGGATGAGGGAGGTGGAGGACAGGGGAGGAAGAGGGAGGGGGGAAGGAGGGGAAGGATAGGGAGGATGTGGGAGCACGGGGAGGACGGTAGGGACAGGAGAGGAGGAGGGCCAGGAGGACAGAGGGGAGGGTACGGGGATGATGGGGGGAAGATTAGGAGGAACCACTGCTGCACCAAATGAAACGGCTACTACAGCTGGTGGAACCACTGGCGGACAGTGGCTGCCTAATTAGTCGGCTAGGGAGGCGGAAGAGGGAGTATAGGAGGTGGGAATTGTCATAGGAGTTCTAGGAGGTTCTTAGGATAATGGTCGGTTCTGGTAGTTGGGGGTGAGAAGGAAGCGGAGGGGAAGATGAGACGGAGGCGGAAGAAGGAAGATGGAGAAGGCTGTCCTGCCTCCCTCGAGTCGGCAGCTCAAGGCAAAAACGCTGACGATGCGATGCCTGGCTGCCCAAATAGCAAAAAGGCGGTGTCCTTGACCAGCTCCGCTTCGCGCTGCTGCTTCTGTAGCATCTGTTTCATCTTCAGCTCCTCGGGAGCAAGGACAGCACAAGACACACACACAAGCCCCACTGGGGCCCAGACCCTCGATGCACATCGGGCCCCGGCCAAGCCAGGAGGCCACGTCCACCAAGGTCTTGGCTCAGGGTGGGCTTGTTGAGCCTTGATGTAGGCTGACTACCTACCAGACCACCCCAACCCAACCCGAAGACCCGAATTTCGGGTTGGGGGAGGTAAGGGTTCCACATGTGTTTTTTCGATGTTTCCCGACCCCCCCCCACTAGAAATCGAGGGCAAATCTGAGCCTTCGGGTTGGGTTGGGGTGGTTTGGTGGGTGGTGATAGGCCCAATGTGGGCCTGTGGGTGGTGGTGGATGCCCAAACCTCCCACGTCGTGTTTTTTAGCGACGTGGTCCCTGGAACTCTCGATCCCATCACCGGGCTCCGCTTACCGCCGTGGGCATTATTTTCATGTGAGCCCGTTGGTCCCGGAAGTCGCACGCGCCTCGGGGATCGCGAGATGCGCAGAATTCAAAAGCATGCCCGTCGTGGCCTGTGCGCGAAGCCTGGGTGCTCTTTCTGTCTGCAGGGCTCCTCTTGCTGCCTCTTCATGTCCTCGATCTTCTTCATCTGCAGCTGCTTTTGCTGCGGGCGCGGGGGCGATGCCGTCCGTCGCCATCCTCTCCAATGCCCCACCCGATCCTCCTGTTCTTCCTACTCAACCAGCTGCTGCTGCTCCTCCTGCTCCCCCTCAACCTCCTCTTCCTTCCGACCGTTTCTCCTGCTGCTGCTCCTCTTCCTCCTCCATACATCTTCGTCGTGTATCTGGCTTAGCGTGTCGCGCCGCCGATTCTGGCCCACCACGCTTCGGCGCGACACGCTAACCAGGTCCTAGTCCCCAAGCGTCAACGTCCCGAGCTTTTCGAAGCCCCCTGACCTGCGGAGCGGAGCGACACGCTATCAACATGCACGGTATAGCGTGTTGCCTTGGCCGCCGCCGCGACACGCTAAACAACAAATCCCGACCGTGAGCTCCTGCGTAGCCGTTTTGGCTCACGTCGCCACCGCGCGCTGAAGCGGCGAGGTGCCCGCTCGGCGATCGGTCGTGGTCGCTTCGGGGCACGCCTCGGGTGAGGGCGGGGCGCTGTCGCGGTGGGGTGCCGGGCGCCGCCAATCATCGTCCCGCGGGGGGCTGCGCGCCGCGATGGCAGTCTAACAATCAGCCTCGGCATGGGCCTTGCTGCGAGCGGCCGTGGGATCCGCTGTATTCTTCGGGCAGGTGCAGGCCTCGAGCTTCTGATCTTCTGGCGGGGCAAAGTAGCTATATGACTGATGTTGTTTCGAGCGATCTCCACCTGAGACCGCCAGGCGGGATCCCCGAGAAACACTGGCCCCAAGGCGGGTCGGGAGCCGACGGCGACGAATGGGCCAGCGTGAAACCACACGAGACACGTGAGACAGCCGCAAGTCTGAATGTGCCTCAAGCTCGATGCCGAAAGTTCTCTCCTGCTCGGCAAGTCACGACGGTTCCCACGCCAAGCGCGCTCAAGTCGGACCAGGGAACAGGGAGGAGCGGGTGAGGGACCAGGAGGCGGCAAGTGGCCCAGGTGCAGGCCTCAAGGAGCCATTCGTGGCCGTGGGTCCGACGGACTCGGCGAGCAGGCCTCAAGACAGGACGAGCTTCTCTCCCATCGGCCTGCGTTTGTGCCCTGGGCCCGCCGCTGCGCCAAGTGTAGCAGCAACGGGAGGTGGTGGTTCGGCAAACACGCATATGCCGGATCGGAGGACCGTGCCTCTGGAACCTGTCCACGCCTGTCACGGGACGGGGAGAACACAGCACGACGGGGAGACACTGTGAACCATCAACCGTCCTCGCTGCTGGCGCCCGCGACGCAGACCATGTAACGCCCTGTCACGAAGCCCTCCTCCACCTGCGTCCTCTGCTGCATCGCTCTCCTCGTTCCCCCTAGCCCCTACTCCTCCTTCCCCCTGCACTCTTCTCCTCCCTCCCCCTCCTCATTCCTCTTGCTCCTACGGCGAGCGTGCACTGGAAAAGGGTACTTCCCTTCAGAAGGAGGGCGAGAAGCAAGAGCAGGAGGAGGAGGAAATGGTGGGCGCGTTTCAGTGATGTCCTCCTGCTGCTGCAGATCCTCCTTCTCCTCCTTCTCCTCCTCCTCCTCCGCCTTTCCTCCGAGGCCCAACTAACGACTGCCCCATGAAAGTCCACGGCGAAACCCACAGCGTTCGCGGTAACACTGGCAACGACTCCTGCTCGAACTGGGACAAGATCACATCCTTCCTCTTCATCCTTCTCCTCCTCATCCATTATCCTCCTCCTCCACCTCCTACTCCTCCTCCTCCTCCGCCTCCTCCTCCTCCTCCTCCTCCTCATCATCATCACATCATATCATATCATATCATATGATATCATATGATATCATATCATATCATATGATACCATATCATATCATACCATATGATATCATCATCAGCATCAGCATCATCATCACCATCATCATCACCATAATTTTCATCATCATCATCATCATCATCGTCATCATCAGAATCAGCCCTCCTACCTTCTCCTCCTTCTCCTCCTCCGTCCTGTCTCCTCCTCCCTCCTCCTCCTCCTCCTCCTCCTCCTCCTCGCCTCTCTGGGGATCCAAAGAGATAACTATATCGCTTCTCCCTGGACCTCTCCATCGGTGCGTTCTGATCAAAATTTCGAGGCGAACCCAGCAGTGGCGACGAGGACCTCTCAGGAGGCTCTCAAAAAATCGAGAACGAGGCAATGTTAGCGGTATCGGTGTCTTTTCCTCCCCCCTTCCTTTCGGACTCCTGAAAAATTAGACTGTTCGAAAACAAATGGCACAACGCCCAACTAGAAATGTGTCCCAGACCGACAACGGACTCTGTTGGGCAGCTGATTTTCTGTCTCAAGTGGAAAGCGCCCGCGGGGACGCGGAAAGCGAGTCCAGTTCAACATGGGCAGGGACTGCTGTGGGTCGTCACCATTCTGCCCGTACTCTCCTCCTGCTTTGGAAGAGCCAAAAAGGGCATAAACATAATTTCTCGGAGGTCCGCGCGGATTTCTTGGATCGGCGGTGGACCCCACACCCTGGCGCGCGGAGCGCGCCAGGGGCGGCGCCGGAGGCGCCGCCGGGGGAGCCCAGCGCCGATCCAGGAGATCTACGAGGAACTCTGAAAGTTTATGCTTCTATATGCAATTGTTGCAGTTGTGGTTGTTGTCGTCGTCGTCGTCGTTGTTGTTGTTGTTGCTGCTGCTGTTGTTGTTGAACTCTCACTTCTGAAGACACCGGTGCATACTGTTTCCTCTCACTCAAAGTGTGCCCCTCGACGCTCGCACCCTGGTTTTTGATAGGGACGGTTTTGTTGCTCAAGCTGGGCCCCTGGCCCCCGGATTACAACAACAACAACAACAACAACAACAATTACTAGCACGTGGGGACACTCCGTTCTCACCAGTGCCAGGGTTTTGATAGGAGGCGGGCAATACCCCCACTTTGTGGGGGGGCCGGTTCAAGCTCTACCAAATTTCCAAACGACTCTTCGCCACCACCCACACCCAGCTTCCCGCCCTATGACGTTCGGACACTTCACTTCGTGGCATGCGGACGACCGTGGCTACTATTCAGGGCCCCGCGGCCGACGACGACGGCGTGCGCGCGCGAAGAAAAAACGAATGTGTCCCGCATGGTATTATTTGACAGGGATGATGGCCCTGGCAGGTGCGCAACCGTTGTTGCAGAAGTTCGAAAAAGTTGCTCGCAAAAGCCCGTTTGACAGAAATGTTTAAAAAGTGTTGGGTTTCCTACGAATCCGCAAGAGCGCGCGGGATGAGATTTTGACATTTTTTTGTTGAAAAACCATTGGTTTTTTGATGTTTTTATGTTAAAATCGCTGCGAACACTAAGGTTTTGGAAGGATTTCGTCTTGCGCGCGCGAATGTCCACTTTACCTTATTTTTTGCAAGGGATTCTTGAAATTTGATTATATTAGAACAAGAAATGTCATTTTCTATTGTTTTTTGCAAGGGAAAGCGGATTACAACAAAACAACCGGATCCTGTACACACCCTCTTTTCTGAGGCTTCCTCACGAAAATGATGAAAATGTAGCTGCGGCCTAGGCGGCGCAGGGGGGGCGCGCACCAGGGGGCCCAACAATAATTATTCTTTAGAATAAATAATGTTCAACGGTTCCCGCCTGAGACGTCCTCAGAATTTAGCCAGGACCCCCGCTCCCGCCCGAGACTTCCTCGCATTTTATTCTGGAATCGCGCTCTCGCTTGGGACTTCCTTCCAATTTATTCAGGCATCGCTCTCCCAGCGCTCTGGAGTCGCGCTCTCGCTCGAGACTCGCTTGCAATTTATTGACGAATAGCGCCCTTGCGTTGGAATTTCATGCACTTTACTCAAGCGCCGCGCTCCCGAGACCCAGGCACCAAGGAGTCGCGCTGACGCTTAGGATTCCCTCACAGATTACGTACGGATGGGGATCTCGCTGCCCTTCGTGGCCCCGTTGCAGCCGTTCGTGCCCCCCCCGCTTTGTTTCGTGGCCTCGTTGCAGCCCTTCGTGGCCCCCCCGCTGCCCTTCGCGGCCCCGTTGCAGCCCTTCGTGGCCTTCTCGCTGCCCTTCGCGGCCCCGTTGCAGCCCTTCGTGGCCCCCTCGCTTTGTTTTGTGGCCCCGTTGTGGCCCTTCGCCCCCCCGCTGCCCTTCGTGGCCCCTTTGCAGCCCGTTCGTGGTTCCCTCGTTCCCTTTCGTGGCCCCGTTGCAGCCCTCAGTGGCCCCCTTGCTGCCCTTCGTGGCCCAAAATATGTATGCCCTTCGTGGCCCCCGCTCGTTCGCGCCCGTGGTGGCCCCATATGCACGCCCTTCGTGGCCCCGCTGTCGCCCTTCGTGGCACCCATCCCTGCCCTTCGTGGCCCCATTGCTGCCCTCAGTGGCCCCGTCCTTGCCCTCCGCGCCCCAACATACGTATGCCCTTCGCGGCCCTCGCTCGTTCGCGCCCGTTGTGGCCCCATGTGCATGGCCTTCGTGGCCCCGCTGACGCCGTTTGTGGCCCCCTCACTGTCCCACGCGGCTCAGTTGCTACCCTCAGTGGCCCCATCGTTGCCTTCTGTGGCCTCGCACTATCTGCCCTTCGTGGCCCCCGCTCGTTCGCGCTCCTCGTGGCCCCATACGCATTCCTTTCGTGTCCCTGCTGTCGCCCTTCGTGGCCTACTTCGTGTCCTTCGTGGCCCTGCTGTCGTTCTCTCTCGCTCTCGCTTTCGCTCGTCGTCGTCGTCGTCACCGTCGCCATCGTCGTCGCCGTCGTCGTCGACGTCGTCGTCGTCGTCGTGGTCGGTCTCCTGTCCGTCCCTCTCTTGGGGTCGGGTCGACTGTCCGCGGCCGCCCCGCCGATTAGCGCTGCCGCTGGCCAGGCCGACGGTCCGCGGCCGCCCCGCCGCTTGCCGGGGCCCGGCCTGCAAGGAAGAATTGTATACCCCCCAAAAGGGGCTTGATCGAAGATGAAGGGGGCGGGTATCGAGGGTTTGGAAGATACGCGCGACACTCGAGCAGATAAGGGCGAACAGTCTTAAAATTATTGTTGTTGTTGTTGTTATTATTATTGTTGTTGTTGCTGTTGAACTCTCACTTCTGCATAATAATTATGGCTGACCCCCCTCACCGGTGAATGCTTTTTTTTTTCTCCGTCAAAGTGTGCCCCTCGACGCTCGCACCCTGTTTTTGGACAAGGAAAGCCGTAGTGGTCAAACTGTGCCCCTGGCCCCCCGGACAATAACAACAACAACGGCTTCCTTCTGAGACTTCCTCCAAATTTACTCAGGACCCCTCCTTCCTGTTTAAGATTTCTTCCAAATTTACTCAGGAACCGCGCTCCCGCTTGAGACTTCCTCAGAATTTAGTCTGTAGTGCTGCTCGCCCGGACTATAACAGCAACGGCTCCCGCCTGAGACTTTCTTACACTTTATTGAAGAATCGCGCTCTCGCTTTGGACTTCCTGGCAATTTGCCACCGAACTACGACTCCCGCCCGAAATTCCTGACAATGTACTATAGACTCGTATTATAAAACCGCGTTCTCGCTTGGGACTTCCTCGCAACTTACCTCCGAACCGCTTCGCTTGATATTTCCCCAATTTCTCGGATGCCGATCCTCGACACTCAGGAATCGCGCCCCCGCTACATAATGCCTCTTGGTTCAAGCAGGACTCACGCTTCAACGACCCGCCCGCTGGACCCGCCCGTCGGGGCCTGCCCGCCCGACCAACCCGTTAATGACTGCAGTCGCCGCTCGCTGCCCTTCGCCCGGTTTCGATGCCCCTCGCTGCCCGTAAAGGTTCCGCGGTCACCTTCGCTCGCTGCACTTCGTGGCCCCGTTGCGGCCCTACCCTAAGTGGCCCCGTCACTGCCCTTTGTGGCCCCGCATTATATGCCCTTCGTGGCCCCCGCTCGCACGCGCCCGTCGTGGCCCCATACGCATGCCCTTCGTAGCCCCGTTGCCGCCCTTCGTGGCCCCCCCGCTGCCCTTCGTGGCCCCGTTTGCTGCCCTCAGTGGCACCGCTGTCGCCCTGTGGCCCCGTATGCGACTGCCCTCCGTGGCCCCCACTCGCTCCCGTCGTGGCTCCATATGCATGCCCTTCGTGGCCCCACTGTCGCCCTTCGTGGCCCCCTCGCTGCCCTTCGTGGCCCCGGTGCTGCCTTCAGCGGCCCTGTCGCTGCCCTCTGCGGCCTCGGATTTTATGCCCTTCGTGGCCCACGCTGGCTTTTCTCACGATTTACTTGGGAATCGCGTTATCGCTCGAGACTTCCTCGCCATTCATGCAGGACCCGCGCTTCAGCAACCCGCCTGCTCGACCTCGTCGCTTGGGCCCGCCTTGCCGACCTTCCCGCTATGGGTCTGCCCACCCGATCTGCCCGTTTGGTTCTACCACTTGTTTTCTGCTCGTTGCCCCCCTCCTGCTAATTTGTCTCGTGCTCCATTCTTCTCGCTCCCCCTTTCACCCGTCCTCTCTTCCCTTGTTTAACGGGCTGCGTTAAATACACGTGGCAAGTAAGGAAGAGATACCCCCAAGGAAATACGATCGAATACGACGAGGGTGGGCACCGAGGGTTTGGGATATACGTATTGATTGGCACGTGAGCGGATAGGACCGAACAGTTTTAAAATTATTGTTGTTGTCGATGTTGTCGTTGCTGAACTCTCACTACTTAATAATAATTATTGTTTATCCCCCCCTCTGGTGCACATTGTATTTCTCCCATTGAAGTGCCCCTCCCGGCGCTCGCACCCTGTTTTTTATCAAGGGACCTCTTCCTCCTCAAACTGTGCCCCAAGCCCCCGGTTTACAACAACAACGGCTCCCGCTTGACACTTCCTCAAAATTTACTCTGGTCCCCCGCTCCCGCTTGAGACTTCCTCGTAATTTACTCAAGAATCGCGCTTCCGCCTGAGACGCCCTCGCAATTCACTCAGGCGCCGCGCTCTTGTCATTCAGGAATCTCGCGTTCGCTGGGCTCTCTCGCTGGAAACTTCTTGGCTAATCGCGCAGAACTCACGATCTATCCGCCCGCTCGGCCCGCCCGTCAGGGTCATGCCTTTCGTGCCCCATGCCCCATGCTCGCTCGCGCCCTTTGTGCCTCATTGCTGCCCTTCGTGGCCCTCCCCCTTGTGGCCCAGTCGCTGCCCTTCGTGGCCCCGACGCTGCCCTCAGTGGCCCCTCGCTGCCTTTTGTGGCTCATGTATACGCCCGTCGTGGCCCCCAGTCGCTCGTGCCCTCAGTGGCACCATTGCTGCCCTTCGTGGCCGCGCTGCTGCCCCCAGTGGCCCCTTCGCTGCCCTGTGTGGCCTACATCTACGCCCTTCTTGGCCCCCAGTCGCTCGTGCCCTCAATGGCATTATTGCTGCCCTGCGTGGCCCCAGTGTAGCCCCGTGTGCCCCCCCCGCTGCCCTCAGTGGCCACCTCGCTGCGCTTTGTGGCCCATCTATTCGCCCTTCGTGGCCCCCAGTCGCTCGTGCCCTCAGTGGCTCCATTGCTGACCTTCGTTGCTTTGGCGTAGGCCTTTTGTGGCCTCTACATACGCCCTTCGTGGCCCCCAGTCGCTTGTGCCCTCAGTGGCCCCATTGCTGCCCTTCTTGGCCCCGCTGCTGCCCCCAGTGGCCCCTTCGCTGCCCTTTGCGGCCCATATATACGCCCTTCGTGGCCCCCAGTCGCTCGTGCCCTCAATGGCCCCATGGCTGCCTTTCGTGCCCCAGTGTAGCCCCGTGTGCTCCCCCCGCTGCCCAATGTGGCCTCCTCGTTGCCCTTTGTGGCCCATCTGTTCGCCCTTCGTGGCCCCCAGTCGCTCGTGCCCTCAGTGGCCCCATTGCTGCCCTTCGAGGCCCCAGCGTAGCTTCTTGTGACCCCCCCCGCTGCCCATTATGACCCCGCTGCTGCCCTCAGTGGCCCAGACGCTGCCCTTCGTGGCCCCCCCGTCGCTTGCGCCCTCAGTGGCCCCGTTGCTGCCCTTCGTAGCCCCAGCGTGGCCCCTCGTGACCCCCTTGCTGCCCTGTGTGACCCCGGCAATGCCCTCAGTGGCCCCATTGCTGCCCTTCGTTGCCCCCTATCGCTGCCCATTGTGGCCCCGTTGCTGCCCTTGTTGGCCCATGTATACGCCCTTCGTGCCCCCCGCTCGCTCGTGCCCTCAATGGCCCCATTGCTGCCCTTCGTGGCCCCGCTGCTGCCCTTCAGTGACCCCATTGCTGCTTCTCTCGTCCGCAGTTCTGCTCCCTTCCTCTTGTCTCTTGCCTCCCTCCCTTCCCCAACTCCTTTCCTTCTCGCTTGTTGTTTCTTCTCTCTCTCTCTCTCCCTCTACGTTTCTGTCGCTCTCTCTCTCTCTCTCTCTTTCTCTCCCTCCTTTCTCACTCCTTTTGCTCTTTTAGGGGCTGCGCCCAATACACGTGGCAGGCCAGGAAGATGTACCCCCCAGAGGGGGTACGATCGAAGACGAAGAGGGCGGGTATCGGGGGGTTGAGATATACGTGGTGAGGTACGCGCGAGCAGATAAGAGCGAACCGTCTTACAATGATTGTTGTTGTTGTTGCTGTTGTCTTCACTGCTTCTCCGAACTCCCAGACAAGCGCCTGCTCCATGAGCATCTTCTGCTGCATCACTGCGGCGGCGGCCGCGGCCTGGCTCTGCATGGCCTGGGCGGCCATGGCCTGCTGCTGGTGGGGCGGCCAGTGCACAACCCATCCATGAGGAGAGGGGAAGAGGAGGAGAAGGAGAAGGATGAGGAGGAGAAGGAGAAGGATGAGGAGGAGGAGGAGGAGGAGGAGGTGGAGAATGAGGAGGAAGGGAAAGGGAGGAGGAAGAGGTGGTGGAGGAGGGAAAGGAGGAGGAGGAGGAGGAGGAGGAGGAGAAGGACGATGGGGGAAGGGGAGGAGGACGAGGAAAAGAGAGAGGAGGAGGAGGAGGAGGAGGAGGAGGAGGAGGAGGAGGAGGAGGAGGAGGAGGAACATGGGGAGGAGGGGAAGGACTCCGACAACCTGCAGGGCCTCCACATCAGGAAGCTCCTCAGTCCCAAGAAATCTTCGAGCCCCAGGCTCTCTCTCAGAACAAGCATAAGGCAGAGCAGGGCCTGGCTAAGAGAAAGGACGGCTGAGCTTGTCGAATAAGCGTATCAATTCGATCTGCTCATCCATCACGTCCAACACATCCATACCCACTTACTGGCACAAATCGTGGACTTGGAACTCGACAAGTAATCGATCCGACTTTGAGACGTAAACGCGATCGGACAAACACAGATAAGGTCCACAATCTCTGCAATTGCCGAACAACCGTTTTTATCCTGGGGGGCATGCATGGCACATCCCCAACAGTAAGAGCCATTGAACCAAACAGAACAAATTAATGTGCCACAAGAACATGCCATTTCGGCAGCCAGATGTTGGTAAAACGAGCATGGAACAAATAAGCATTTCGAATATTCGACGCGTGAAAAGCAACCCAGGACAGAAGATCGCGGTGACAAGACGGCATGGCTCCCACATGGGCGATACCTTCTCCAGCAAGATTACGCAGCTCCTCAGAAACGTCAGGGTGTCAAACAATCTAGACCTGATGCATATTCTGAGGCTCTCCATACATCGCGTGTGCAAGCAAGGCCAACAGGTGGTCTTCAGCCCAGGCAGATAACAGGCCTGGCGACAGCCTCTTCTGAATGATGTTCGCCAGTGTGGACCCCTGGCGATCTATACGGTGCAGTCTAGGTGATGCGGGTGCAGTCTAGGTGATGCGGCCAATGTGGTGGTGCAACCTAGGTCGTGCAATCCATGAGGGGCAAAGCAAGGCATAGCAGCGCAGAGCAATGCAACGCAACTAACAGCAATGCAATGCGACGCAGAGCAACTCAAGGCAATGCAAAGCAATGCAAAGCAATGTAAAGCAAAGCGCTGCAAAGCAACGCAAAGCACTCAAAAACAATACAATGCAAAGCACTGCAAAGCACTGTAAGGCACTGCATAGCAATGAAAAACAGTGTAAAGCATGGCTGAGCAATGCAACGCACTGCGAAGCCATGCAAAGCAATGCGATGAAATGCAGAGCAATTCGAAACAATGCCAAGCAACGCGAAGCACTGCAAAGCACTGCAAAGCACCGCGAAGCAATGCAATGCGGTGCAAAGCACTGCAGAACAGAGCGAAACAATGCCACGCCATGCAGAACAATGCCAAGCAATGCAAAACGATGCGAATCAACGCGGCGACGGGCGGCGGCGAACAGGCCGGACCGCCACCGGGGCGCAGTGGTGCCTTGTGACAGCGGCGGCGGCGGGCGGCCATGGGCGGCCACAGGCCGGCCGGACCACCACCGGAGCCCACCCGGCGACGGGCGGCCACGAGCCAGCTGGACCGCAGCCAGAGCTCAGTTGCCTCAGAACGCCAACAGGGATCCCTACAGTCGGGGCCTTGACCTAAGGAACCCAAAATCAGGAACGAGGCCCCTTTTTTCCATGAGTTAAACTTCGATGTCCGATCGAAAACGTAGAAGGAAAACCTGAGGCAAGCTGCGAAACACTTTTAAGGAACGCGGAGTCCCTCCCCAACGAAAAGGGTTCCTTCTTCAGGACCCCGACTGTAAGTGCAAGCGCTGTTTGGGGAGATCCTCAACACGAATCGTCATGGGCAAGGGGTGCCCGCCAGCGGCAAGCGCGCACGACGGCGGGCAGATCCAGCAGCCCCCGCCCGTGACCGTGCTCCATGGCCCCAAGAGCAGCCTCGGCTTCCAGCGGGCGGCAGCGGCTGGAACCCCAGATGGCTTCCCCCGAGTTGGAGTTGCGCCTAATCACCAGCAGGCCCGCCGAAAAGCTCAACATCGCCACGACAAGCACAAGCGGTTGGGCTACCTTGGAGGCTGCCCTCTTGAAGCTCGCGGCAAACATTACCCAGGCCGAAAAGTATAGGGTCAGGAACAGCAAGCACGTCTATACCCATACTCACATCCGAAACACATGCTTGATGTTTCTCGATTCGGGGAAGAATTCGTTGACGGTCGGTTTTGAGGATGCTTCTTGCGTCTTGCGAGCTCGCAGATTAGTTGAGGATATTTGCGTTTTACTTTACCTATATCAAATACACTGTCCGGCGACTGGTCTCAACACATGCAATCAGCAGGTGCCCAACACCGTAAGTAAAGGCATGTCCAAGCATAGTTCCCAATGACCAGTGGAAGAGATTTCAACGTTTCGCGCGAAGTATTCCGCGAGCACGCACCGCGGCAGCCATCGGCGGCGCAGATCAGGGCAGGCAAGGGGCCGACGATGGTGGCAGGCAACAGCATCGCATGCGGATTTGTTCCTGTCACCACTGCTCTTTTCCACTCAATCCTTTCATTGCCAAGCGGCCTGACCATCCCAACTCCACCGCGCCAACCCGTCAACGTCCAGCCCGCGCAGGCAACTTGTGACATGCGCGTCGACGTACCTGTCGCACATGCGCGATGTTCACCAAAATCAAGCAGTGGCCCAAGAAAGCCACCCCTGACCTCCAACCACTCAACGCCAAACTTACGCGCATCATTAACCAACATACCCATGATGGATCAATTTGGACACTAGAAGGCACTGGACCACTCGGCCCCTGACTCCAAGACCACCTCAACAACTTCAACGAGCGCCTGACAACTGCCGTCGCTGAGAAATTGTCTGACGTCACAGGGCGCAATCACTAACCCCCAGACTGGCGCAGCACCAACCTTCACAGAGGTCACGCTAGCCAGCGCGTTGCCCGACAAGCACGACAACGAAAAGCACCATGCGCGAACTGTTCACTGGAATGCATGCCGCTCTTGCGCGATCTTCCACTGATTTCAAGCCGACAAGAATGACAGCTACACCAGCAAGCTGGTCAACTCTCAAGGACGTTAACACGCATGTGCTAGTTCAGAAATATTGAACGATGGTCTCCCCATTTCCCAGAAATGCTGCCGGACATATTACATACTTACCAATATGCGAATCACGAAACAACATTGGTCTGTTTGCAATCTACCGCAAAGAATCCTGACGTCCTTCGACCGGCCCAGGAAGCTGAAGGTCACGAGCAATCACGGCGCAGCTGGAAAACTTAGCGCGACCGAGCAGCTGAAGGCAGCTCTTGTTGAGCAGTCCGACGCAGTATGGGGTTCTCAAGACATCTGCTCAGATGAGATTCGCGCCGCACGTGGGTTGTCGCGCTTGCTATCAGAGCTTCTTGGGCCAACGCGCCAATTGGCGCGGCATGGGCACTGGAAAGTCGCAGCTCGGCCAGACGACGTGTCGAAATTCAGAAGTCACCGACCTCTGCTGAAACTACTTCAGCCAGATGAACCTGATGATCTTGGAGCCATATAGCGTAGCTTTCAAGAGGGAACTTGCAATCCCGGCGGCGCCCACCCAACCCGCTTCGGCCTTCTGGGGGGCTCTGCTTTAGACGTTATGGATCAGTTTCTTGCTCTCATGAGAATTCTCACAGACTCGCTAACCCAGATACAGAGCATAATCTTTCCTCTGGCCCGCAAGCAACCAAGGGGGTGAATGGAGGTGCTTAGGACGCGTCCCTGCTGTTTGTCGCCCACCAGGGAAGTTGCAAGCCAAACGATGCAAACCGCGGAGAATGGACAAATGAGCAGGAGGGGAGTTTTCCGCAACGCAGAAGGGGCCCCCCAGGACACCCGTTGGAGGCAACCAATCAAGGCAGAGGGAACACCATCAGACCAACATCTCCATTACCCCACCTCCTTCCGGCTCTGAAAGCGCATTTCGAGATGATCGACTATGTTATGGCTCATGACCGATGGTGCCATATCTGTGCCGCTGTGTGCCGCGCGACGGATCGCGTCTGATGGGCCCGCGGAGACGCGCGATGCCAAAACGCGCTCCCCCCCCCGCGATCACCAAACTCAGCCACGGCAGTGAGGGGTTTGCCGCGCACGTCGATAGTGTGACATCGCGGGCATGTCGACCGCATTTCGCATTTCGCATTTCGCATTTCGCACCAAAAACCGCATTTCGCACCAAAAACCGAACAATTTGCGCGGAATGTCGACCCACAACCGCTCATAAAACACGCACAACAACACAAACAACTTTACGGCACTCCATCATCCCGTGCCGGTTTTCGACCGACAGGACTAGTCTAGGGCCGAAGTCATCGACGGCTACAGCAGCTCGATGGCGCAAACTACGACGCCGCTGCACGAAGCTTCAAAGCACGAAAAGCAAAACCACCCCTATGGAGAAGATGCGACCCTTCGAAGCAAACATGCCGGTGACGGTCCGCTGCGGAGCGCCCGCCAGAGGCTTCCCCACACGTGAGACCTTCAGCCTTCGTTGGACAATGCCCAGATTCATGCCTGACCGCTACCAAAACACGGAGGAGGAGGAGGTAGGAGGAGGAGGAGGAGGAGGAGGAGGAGGAGGGAGGAGGAGGAGGAGGAGGAGGAGGAGGAGGATTACGCTTTACAGCGGGGGCCTTCGGGCGCCACTGCAAACAGATGGTGGGCCGCCGCGTGCCGCGCGGAGCGCCGTCGCAGGGCGACGGAGCCGCCGCTTGACGCGGCGCGTCGAGAGCTCGACGCCGAGGGTCCGGCGAGAACAGCAGCCATGGCCTCGCACAACAAAACTGGCCCGCCAACGTTGCCTTCCCTCCTCCTCCTCCTCGTCCTCCTCCTCGTCCTCCTCCTCCTCCTCCTCCTCCTCCCCTGTCCAGGGCAGGCCCCAGTGGAGCACTATCGTCCCAACACCGCTCGTCGGCACAACCTGCATCACTCACAGCATCTCGGACGCGCGCCCCGTCGAAATCACAACCAGCGCTACTGCGCAATACCGCAACCAACTCATCCAATGATAAGCTCGGTTCCAGTATCAAGCAATCGTCACCGCCACCGCTCTCATCAAATGGGCTTCGACAGTGATGAACACAGCCCTGACTCCAGACTGCCGTTCAGCATATGCAGTACGCCACTACATGTGGGACTACCCTCGCGCAAATCATATTCGACCACGCTTGGTCGACGTGCTCGCAGAAGAAGCACGGACAACATAATCAAACGATCAATTCGTTGCAATAGCATGGATACAACGTCCACAAACAGCTCGAAGCGCAGACTAATCGGGTTACAGGGCCTACAGAGCGTACCACCTACCTTCCAGAGCGATCTATCTCTATAGACATATCTACCCACCTTCACCCATGTTCATTGCGCAGCCGCCTTCCATCGCAGAAGCAATAACATTTATTATGGCTGATGCGTTTGCAACAAGCAATCGCACACACACATCCGCCATCGACTTTGCAGCACTACCCCTGGGCAACATACCCAGCATAGCACCCGATCGCAAGAGCAAGTTCAACCACTTCTGCACAGAAGTATGACCCCCAGAACACCCAAACCTATGGGTGCCCTTACGAAACGCCAAAACAGCACATATGATGAACGACATATCTACGATACTTGTTTCATACACAGTGTGACCAACCGTGGGTGATTATGCAGCCCGGGAAGTGCAACCTCACGCGGTTTCCTTCAGATGACAAGTATACCGAATTTGCACTGGAGCTTTACAGCGGCTTCATGATACGTTGCGTTAAGATTACTGTGTGCTGGCCTACAGCGCAGGAGCTAGGTACGGGGCGAGCCAACCAAAGTTCGCAAACATAGGCCACCACGTCCAATTGCTGCTTATCACAAACAACTGAGGGCTTTGGGGAGCTACTACATGTTCGGCCTGTTTGAAACATCCTGGCCACCAGGAGCACATTTGAAGGGGAATCCCTGTCTGTTCATGTCCAGTTCTCCCAAGGCAAGAGAGCTACGCCAATGGACTACTGATAAGTGTAAATGGTCAACCAGGACACCCAACTATGTTCTGCGACAAGAGCGGCGCCCTCACTACTGCAAGAGTTTCTTTTGTTCCGGCATACGTCGACACTGTCTAAGACATGCGCTACTTTTAAGCTGCCCAAGTTAGGTAGAAAGGGAGTAGCTGCAGCACAGCACACATGTAGCCACGTGAGGTGAGGTATACAGAATAACGCGCGTGCATGTGCACCTGGCCCCTGAGGTGAATAGAGTTCCGACTGTGTTGAGGTTCATGTTGTTGTGGTCGATGTTGCATGTTCTGGCTCTGGGCGGCCCATCGGTGGATGGGGAGAGGAGGACCACTCGCTCCCTCCATAAGCGCGCGTGCCAGCACACCCAGAGCCCCACCACCCCACCTTCACCCACGTCCCAATCCACAGATTCATTGTTCGATCCCTAGCGATTTCAGCCCGTCACCACCATGGTACGAGGCAACGGTAGAGCCCTCCTAACCCCGCTGCGCATGCTCAAGCGTTGCGAGGTCAAGGGCCGAGCCTGCGCAGCGCCGACAGGGTAAATAACACTGCTGCTGCGGCTGCTCCTGCTGACGCTCTCGAATATTCTCATTGTTTGCATGGAAAGTATATACCCACCCAAAAAGATGTTGATAAATTGCAAGGTGGGTGCAAGCAGCTCAGAGAACAGACGCATTATCTGCTCAAAGACTGCGCGATGATGGAGGACTCGGATGCGGGCTCTGCCGACGCTAAGCGCCGAAATCGGAGTCCGCAGCAGCAGCAGCTCGGACAAAGACTGGCAACATAGGCCCCTCCGGCTAACCGTCCCAATGTTGATCGCGTTTCTCTGCGATCTCCCGTGTCACGCCATGATGAAGGGGTATGTGATACACCAGGATTAGGCTTGTGGGTGGGTATGATTGTCCGAGGAACGAAGCCCAGCGAGCCTCCCGTATGTATCCTACCTCTGTTTACCTTGTGTGTACCCCTATTCTTGACGGCCTCCCCCGAGCCCGGAGGTTCGAGCCCCTGTTCAGTCGGGGCACGTGAGGGCGGCCCCTGGACGCCAGCGACGCACGGAAACCGATCTTCGTCCAGGCATCGCGCGCCCTCTGGGCACCCGCAACAGGTAACACAGCATGCAAAACCGTCGGCAAGACATAAACAGTGGTCTCAGTCCGTGTTGGGCTGATTTGCATGCACGCGGGAACCAGTCGTCCCGACCCTGTCCGAGGAGAGGTAGGAGGATGATGATGCGGATGGAGGGAGGGAGCGAGGAGGAGTAGGGGGAAGGAGGACACAATTGAATTACTGTGGCCTGACCCGGAGGCCATCCAAGATACCTTCGACGAATCGCAACCACCCCGCGCTGGGCACCACTGACCCCAAGGAGACATGGCCTCGCAATGTGGAGGAGGAGGCTGAGGAGGAGAGAGGAGAGGAGAGAAGGGGGAAGAGGAGAGGATGAGGATGAGGAGAAGGGCCGAGGAGGAGCAGGAGAGGGAGGAGCAGGGAGGTTCGAACTTCGAAGATCGGCGTTCGATGTTTTCGGGAGTCTCCGCCCTTTTTGGGGCCCCTGGGAAGCTTGTCGCCGCCACGACTGGACCTGCGTCAACACTGCAAACAAAACGTGTCACAACGCAACCTGGAGGCGTTTGTGGGGTAGGTAGTTGAGGGAGGAGCAGGAGGAGAAGGAGGAGGAAGAGGAGGAGGGGGAGACGACCGTAGAGAGGAGGAGGGGGAGGAAAGGGAGCAAGAGGAGGATGAGGAAACGGAGGATGAGGAAATGGAGGATGAGAAAACGAATAAGACAATCCTTCTTCTCCGCGGCAACCCGCTCCCGTGCGCATGTATGGCATACAAACAAATTGCACACCTGGTGGCTCAATTGCGGCTTTGGGAATTCAAGTGCAATGAATCCACTAACCATCAACTCGTCGGACTCACACGCAGAAATGATATGGCACAGTGCAGGTTCCCCCCGTCATACCATACATGACGCAAAGAGCCCACGCCCAGTTGGTAACCCAAGGTCGCTGACAAACCATTGAAAATGCGAGCAAGCAAGGTGTGCCCAAGCCTCCAAAAGTTCACTCAACCCACCACTGATTAAGATGCTTCTGGCCAATCCAAAATATATGCCAACTGCAAGCGAAGGGGCGTACGTTTCCCTGCCAGGGATCTCACCAACTTGTCGTCAGTGCAACAGCTGCACGGATGGAGGGCGGCCAGCCATATAAAAGAAACGTAGCACGACGCAGGCAGTCTGATATGCTTATCCAATGCCACTGGGGATCGGCGAGGCTATCAAACCCACTTGTACGAATCTCAACGGCAAACGACAAATGAGCACAGCACCGTCAGACATAATTTCGAACAAGCAGCGGTAATATGGAGGTGAATCCGTATTCTGAAGGCCTAGTATTACGTACACCAGGAAGCTGGACGCACACACACACATATATATACACACATATACACGCACATTGCTGGATTCACAATTGGAAAATGTGGAGGTCGCGTGCTGGATAAGGCGGAACGCGGGACTGCGAGGCACCACTTGCAAGCGAACTCTGGTCGAAACACATGTGTTATTATACTAGTGGTACAGCCGCGTCATGTGTCCATGTTCCTGGTACGGGATTCTGAATACTCACGGATGTAAGTGTGCGTGAATATGCTGATGCTCATATGCGCAAGCTGTACGCGATGATACTTGTGTGTACATGCTAAGAACTTCAACTACAACGCACGCACACAGCGGCATCTGTACAAGTACGTACATCTGTACACCAATCTCTTCACTTTAAAAAGCAATGACATATGATACACAACCACGCATGCACACTATCCAATCGGGAATCCGCGCCTGGGGAACGCCGCGGAACCCTGAGACAACACAAACTGTGATGATGTACTCCCGCAGAGATGCAGCGCACTTCCAGCACACGGCGACGCCAAGGGGTTATCGAGTGCAACCTCCGTTGGGCTTTTGCTGTTCACGCGACGTCAGCTCAGGGAGCGCTCGACCCCATGCCTGGGATTGCTGTTCCACCGTGGACATTTGCTTGACAAGCCCGACGACGGAAGCGGCCCTGCGGCTGCGCAAACCATGGAAACCATACCTCACGATTTCTTCCGCGGCGTCGGAGGCCTGCCTCCTCTTCCGCCGTTGCGGCTGCACGCACGCAGTCAAAGAGTGACCCTGGGCATGACTGACCTCAGCAGCGCGACGTGCGGGGGACCCAGGGGGGAAGGGGCGCGTGCGTGCAGGCCGATGCAGGGGGGGGGGGGGCCCTGCGGACCCGCACTTGGGGTCACTCCTGCGGAGGGTCACTTTCGCGTGCCGTCGACCAGTCCCCCTGTGGCGGGGCCTGCCCTCGAGGCCCTCGTGCATGTTGAGCACCCCCCTGGGGCCTGGTTCTGCATGGCCTGCATGGCCGCGTTCATGCCGCCTCCGGGGCGCGGCGGCGGCGGCGCAGAAAGAAGGGATGGGGAGGAAGATGAGGGCCAAGACCTCATCGGTGTTGCACAAAAACTACGACGGCGTATGTTCATTCCGATTTTCGGCCTCTAGGATGCCTCCTCGGACCTGATGCCACTAAACCACGATCCAGGATGGAAAAGCAGGTCCCTGGGATGACAAGCCTGAACTGGATAGAATCGTGAAGTCGGACCGAATCGGAAACGGAACCGGACAAAAGGGCACCCATATCGCTGTGTACATTCCTGGCATCCCCTGGGGCTCGTTTTGACCAAGACTCCGCGGCGAGTCCAATCGTGGCGACGGGGGACAAGCAGCGGCATTGGTGTGTCTTCCTCCTCCGAAAACACACCGTACCCAGCGGTCGGAAATACGAAAGCGCTGAAAGTAGATCGGGTTCCGGTCCGCCCCAAAGAAAGAGGAAGGAAAAGTGCAAACACTCGACGATTGAAGTAGGAAAGCGCCTAAAGTAGCTTGGATCCAACCTGGGAGTTCAAGAGCACCGACCTTCAACGCACGATGCGTAAGCAAGAGGTGGCCGCATCCATTTTGAAGCGTTGCCAACTTGCGGCAATCTCACACCCGTGTTTGACGAACGATCAACACGCACCCATACCCATAGGGGGGACGGAATGAACTATGGGTGCGTGTTGTCGGATAGGGGTCTCCGCTCGAACGGGAGCCTCCCCAGGGGTCCGACAACCCGCACCCATACCCATAGCCAGTCCTTCTCCCTCCGACCTCCCTATGGGTATGGGTGTGTGTTGTTCGTTCGCCAGTGCTGGCGGGCATGTTGGGCAGCCCCTCTCTCGGGAGCCCTCGGGAACCCAACGAGGCTGATCTGCCCCGTGCTGGCCCCGTGACCCACCGGGGCTACGTGCGACCCCGTGCTGGTCCGGACCGCCGCTCCAGGACAGACCGGCAGATCCTCCATGGATTCATCAAGAGAGGGCCCCTAAACCTTTCGGAGGGGACCTAAGTTAGGAGGTCCAAAAAATTGAGGGATGAAAAAACGACCCTACCCTGGGTTACAAGTGCGTGGTCTCCTGGGAACCCCCAAAGCCTAGAGCCGCCAGGACGCGGCACATCACGCAGGGTTTACCCTGTCAGCCCACAGGAGTTTCAGCGCACAGCTCCTCGTAAACCAGGGTAGGGGCGTTTTTTTATTCCCTTGAAAAAAGGGGCATGGAACTCAGGCTGTGAGCGATTTACAAAGTAGCTGTGACTGGGCAGCTCACAGAATGCATCCCTCCTCGTGGCTTTGCACTAGATGTCATGTCCTTCTGTGGTGAGGTTGCATATTGGATCCAAAATCGATCAGAATTGCGCAGTTTGGCCTTGAAATCCTTTTCAGGGACAGGGGGTCTATCGAATTCCTCCTGCGGGCGATCTGGGTTACAGAAAAAACACGCTTGTGCGATGGTACAGCCCGCTTCGATGGGATGTTACATGTTGATTGCTCTTGCGTGCAACGTGCATTCGAATTTTGTTTTAGTGGGCGATCTACACATTGAATCCTATCGTGCTGGTTACAAGGATCAATGGATGTACCCGTAGATGTATAAACAGGTGCATATATATATATATAGATATGTCTCGAGATGAGTTGGTCGAATCTACGCTCATGTCTGGATGGATGGATGGATGGATGGATGGACGGATATGCCAGCAGGCGGGTCGAATTGTAAATGTAGATCGCAAAGTTGTATATCGATCGATCGATGGCTAGAGCGATTATGCATATATCGTAGATAAATGGAACGTGTGGAATGGCACGGTCGACGTGTAAATACATAGGCCGCTGTTTGTATGTATGTATATGTATATTTGTGTACATACATGCGCATGTATACACTGACCACTATATATATACACGCGAACAACTAAGAAAAGGCACGCGTACATACATCTGACGGAAGTATGGTAGATATATTCTGATGGGTGGATAAAATTGTCGATGCACGCATGAGTCTCTCTCTGTATATTTATATATGTATGAATGTATATACTACTGCACTGGTGCTTCCCGCCATGCACCTTGGTCCATGAAATTTGGCATGCAGGCGAAACGCCAGGACGGAAACAACTGCAATGTTAGCGATACATCATTGTCGTTTCACCTGATTTCGTCGCTCGATTAATATTATTCGCTATCCTTCCTCAAGTTCCCTCTTCTTCTTTCACATTCTCGCCCTGCCCTGCGATTTTACCCGTATCCCCTTTAGCCCTTTTGCGGAGGCTCCTCCTTGGAGAGCCTCTTTGGGGCCTCGCGAAAGTGTTTAAAAGACTACTTGGGGCTTTCTGGAAGCTTCCTGGGTCCCCTCTGGGGGCCTCCGGGGGCTTCCTCGGGCCACCCTGCCTCCCATCGCGGTTTCCCTGAGCGACCGGGCTACGAATCGGAATGTTTCGGAGGGCGTTTTGGGGGGCCATCTTGGGCCGTCATAGGTTTCTCTCCCGGCCATCTTGCTTCCCTCTTAGGCCGCCTTGGGGCTCTCTTGGACTGCCTGGAGGCTCTTTGGGGTAATTTTGGAGCGATGTTCTGGCCTCCTGGGCGGTCTCGGACGCCCGGCAAACCGAAGCACAGAGCATCCCCCAATCCAAAAAAAAACAACTGGGAATCAACATTTCCCTTGCGTTTCGAATGCCTCTTGGGGGGTCTTCGTTGGGTCGTCTTCTGGCGTCTGGTGGGTGTCTGGGGCCTCTTGGGGCTCTCGTGGAGCCGCGGGGCCGGTCGGCCGCTCTCCTGGATGGGCCTGGTGCCTCGGACCAACAAGGGTTTCCAGCAACCCTGGCCCAAGGGACGTTCCGCAAGGGCACCCACGGGGGGCCCAAGCCGCCACGGATCCAGGGGGGAACACTTCTTCGGGGGGGACGGGATGTCCCCCCCCCCTGGGTTGCAAACAGATGGACAAGGCAAAACGCAGCACCCCGCAGCTGCGCATGAGCGTGGCGCGGCGGCGGGGACGTCCGCAGTCTGCGGGGGTCCGACCAAGCCCGCCGCGGGCCCCCTCCCTCCTCCACGGCGAGGGCAGGGCGACGCCCCCGCCACCCTGCTGCGCGCCGCCGGCACGCGCCGCGCCCCCGGGGCGAGGCGAGGCGGCTCTCCTCCCCGCGAGCAGGGGCCGCACCTGCTGGGCCTCCGGCGCGGGGCTCCCGCCAGTGCGGCGCGGGGGGGGCGCGTCTTCGCGCCCCCCGCGCGGGCGGAAGCGCCCGCGCCTCGAGAGGGCCAAGACCGCCACAGCAGGGAGGGGCAGGGGGAGCTGGCGCGGCAGGCGAAGGGGCGCCGAAGAGGGGGTGTCGTCGAGCGATGGCGGAAGCGCCAAGAGGACAAGGGAGAAATGTCACAGGCAAGGGGAGAAGGGGGAGGACGGCAAACCGCGGAGAAGTGGAGAGCGAGACGGAGGAGCACCGGGAGGCTGCAGGCGCACAACCTGGTGGGCTCACATGTGGAACACGCTGACGCCGTGCGCTGGATACACACATGGTGGGCCAGCGTGCCCAGCAAGCCGGGCGTTGGGTAGACATGCGGCCACATGTCTATCCCGCCTAGGGCGGCCACGTCATGTGCATCCAGCTTCCTGGCAGCAGCAGCAGGAGGGGGACGAGGAGAAGAAGCAACAGCAGGTAGAACAGGAGGGAAGGACGAGGACGGCAAGGGGCGGGCTCCCCCTTGTCCTCCTGCTCCCCCTGCTACTCATCCAAGCGTGTCCGGCCGTGGCCCCAAGCAGGCTTCGCAAGGTGTGTGTGTGTGTGTGCCCATCGGGCGGGCTGCTCCCAGCGTCCAGGCTGGGAGCGACAGTTCACCCGGGAAGCCCTAGAAAAGCGACAGGCAGGGAGGGTGGAGGGGACGAGCGAGGAGGGAGCGGGAAAGAGCGGGCGGCGGAAGGGTGTGAGCCACCCGACCCCCCGTCGTAGGCGCGCGGGCACCCGCCAGGGGCAAGGAGCGGGGGAGAAAGAGAGGAGAGAGCCAGCTTGGCGCGCTCGCGCCATGTCTGACAGCCTACTCCTCGCACGTATCCGTTCCCAGTGCGCGGACGTTTTTCTCTATCCGTCAGCGCGTGTCACAGCAGACATGAAACTCCATAACGTACCCCACCGTCTTGTAAAGGGAGCTGCAGACATTGGAGAAGGTGGCGGCTGAGCAGGAAGATGCGCAAACAGAACATGAAGATGAAGGACAGCGGGGACGAGCAGCAACCGCAGCAGGAGCAGTAGCTGGAATGGAAGGGGCGGGAGGAGCGGGAGGACCAGGGAATGGAATGGAATGGAGCACGCCGTGTGGAGGGGCGCACAACACCAAACAATCTCTCAGCCACGCTACCAGATACAGAGCTTAGGGGGGAGCTGTCGATAAAGCTCGACAATACGACGGCGCTTACCGCCTGGACTGAGCCGCTCTAGGCGCCTCGCGCCGCCGAACTCGATCGGTTCGCACAGCCATCCGCTGCTCGTGGGAAGGGGTCGCCCCAGAAGCGGCAGCCTGGTCCTCGCCGCCGTGCTGCTCGAGCCCCTGGGGTCAGGCGCAGCGTCGCCAAGGGAACCCAACGGAGCCGAACACGCGCTGCGCGCGCTACACTTTCCCTGCCGAGCTCTCCGAGGGACCTCGGGACCTTGGCGGGCGGGGGCTCGCAGTGGCGCGGCCTAGTTTGACCTCGCGGCCTGAGGGCCACCCTCCACGCCTCATGCAAACTCTTGTGTGCTCTATAACCTGCTGCGCATCAGCGGCCCCGTCAAGATCGCGCGCCGCCATCCCAATCATGGCGACGAGGCTGTGACCCTTGGGGTTAGAGAGCAAGGGATCTTCGTCTCGCAATCCGTCCGTCAGCCGCAAACAACGGGTGCACTGTGGCCTACGGCCCCCTGGCTTCCAATCGTGCTGCTTCGACTGCCGCTTTGAGCGGCCCAATCTGACGCGGCGTGTGCCAATTCATACCGCATTCAATGAACTCTCATGGTGGTTACCTCGCAATTCGGCCGGCCAATCCCCACACCATTTTCCGCTGTGTCGTGGTCCACGTGTGCATCGTGTGCACGTGCATTTGAGCTTCTGCTGGCCTTGTCGTGCGTTTGACGTTGTCCACCTAAGGTTCCAACTCCGTATGCCACTCTCTGTCCTTGTAGTCGCGGTCGGCCACGTCGGTCTCTGCGTTGCCGACGTCGTTCGCGCCGTCGTGGGGAGCCAACGATCATGCGTAGCATGCGACGTCGTGTGCGCTGTAGCTGCTCTCTCTGAGGCACGGTCAGAATCCGCGTAGCAACACCACACCGTCGGGAACGTTTGCTTAACGTGTCGCGGCGGCGGCAACGGCGACATGCTGTGCCCAGCAAGCGGAAGGCGTGACACTCTGCTCCGCGGGGCGGGGGGCGGGGAAAAACTTGGGTGACGACTATGGACCAAGAAACGGGTGGCTTGTCGCGCCGAAGCGTGGCGGGGCAGAACCCGCAGAGCGACACGCTGGGTAAACGTTCCCGCCCGTAGAGTACCATTGGCCCCACAGTGCCATTGGAGAGCCGCAGTCGGTGACCAAGTGGGTCGTGCTTTCCTGTGAACTCCCGTCTGTGAGTTGTAAAAGCAGCACATCCTGCTTTCAACCTGTGTAGTTTCTCTGTGGGCATGGTGCCGAGGAATGGCACCAAAAACTTGGCCGTGCCATGGTGCGGATATATACATGTATATATATATATATATATATATATATATATGTATGTATCCTTGGCGTTGATTTCGAGTATGTGTGGTCGTGCTCTCCCAGTTGGCCCCATTGGGTTGGGCAGAGCCTTAGTTTTGTTTGGATGGATGCGACATGATGCGACGACAGTGGATCTGTCCAGTTGTGGCTACGTCTTCGAGCGTTGTCGTACGCCTTGGGAGGGAGCGGTTTGTGATGAGAGTCTTCGGCCCAGCGACGATGGTTAGTCTGGATTTTCGCGTGAAGTCAAGCTGCATTATGTGGTTTCGTTGTCGCCAGGTGTTGACGAGAAGGCGCATGATGTACTCAAGAGGTGAGTCGAATTATCAGGAGCGTTCAGGTCGTCCTGTTCCGTGCATCTGAGAAGCCTGAATGGGCGACAGGTCATGTTTGTCCGCATCGCTGTCCGAGTAGGTCGCCGGAGTCAGTGTATGCATCCTAATGCAACATCTTGGCTCTTCAATGCCGCCCAAAGGCTCTCAGATTAAACCGTGTCGAATGCTTTCTGAAATTCAGCGCCGCTACCCAGAACTGTACGTTCCGTTCGCATGCTTGATCCCAGAATGCATGCAAGGTAAACGGTGAATAGGTGATCTTGCGTTGAGCGTGGTGGGCAAAGGATCGGGACGAGAAGGATGAGGAGAGGAGCTCTCGCCGAGGCGCAGCTGCTGGAGAACACCCCCAGGCTGAAAAACAGCCAAGAAGTGGCGAAAACGCCCGAAAACCTCGGACCTCGAACCTAAGGGAGGGAGGACGAGGAAGAGGGCGATGACGACGACGAGGACGACGCTGGCGACGAGGAGAGGCCCGCCTGCCGCCGCCGGCGCCGCTCTCTGCCTCGGTCCATCGGCCAGGAATCCGACGCGCACCGTCTCATGCCGACGTTGTCGGACGACGACGACGACGACGACGACGACGACGACGACGACCACGACGACGACGGCGAGGTCGACGGCGACGGCGGTGGCGGCGGCGACGTCGGTGACGACGCCGCGGCCGAGGTCGGTGCACGTATGTAGCGCCCCTCGGCTGCGGGCGAGCGGCGGCGAGAGAACGAGAGGAAGGCGCCAGGCCGGCTCCTGCTGGGCGCCCCGAGGGGGGGGCGGCGGCCGGCCGTCGGAGGAGGCGGGGCTTGCCGGGTGAGCTGGAGGGGCCCCAGAACACACAAATGGATACACACGAATTAGAAATATTCCCAATAGTTTCACATATTTTCTAGGTTTTGGTCTTCCCCCCCACTTCCCATATTTTCTCGCATTGTTCCTGGGGATCGACGATTAATTGTGTCTGTGTGTTTTTTTCCCTCCTGATAAGCGACGAAAAGAAACAGGTCTTACGCGAGATGGCATGGCGACGTTGCGCGGCCGGCTTGGAAACGATGGCGCTGACGCGCGACCTTCTGCGGGGCAGCTCGTGCACCAATGTCGGTGAAGACATGTGAAGACGAACCCGTTTCCTTCGGGCTCAGGGCTCAGGTGAAGCCGGAGGCTCTTGAGAAGGCTTCTTAGACTCGGGCGGTCGCACGCTAACATGAGTTGCGGATCTGTAGATCGGGCGCGTGGGCGCCAGATCCACGGATGGGGGAAGGTGACCCCGAAACAGGAGGCCAGTGCCGCTGGATTTGGCGACGGAGCGCGCCGACTTTGCACGGAAGCGGGATCCGTCGCTAATCCGCGCGCCGTCATCTATGGCTGCACTTCCTCACTAGAAGGCGGGAGAGCTTCGAACAAGCCCCCTGCCGTCTGAAGGGGGGGCGCCCCTCTCGCCCCACCAGGGATGACTCGCAACCCTTCTGTGGAGTTGGCTCCCGAGCCTGGCCGTATGCAGCAGCGAGGGGGTAGCGAGCCAGCACGCAACTGCTTTCCAGGCGCCTCACTGCGCCGGAAACGCCAATGCATCGAGGGAGGCGCCCGGCGGCGGGCCTGAAACCAACCCCGCTCTTCGGGGTCCCAAAACGGGGCGGTGACAGACCATGCGGGGACCTCGAATATCCCAAGAGATCTCACCGCACGGTCTGTCACCGCACGGTTTTGGGACCTTGGAGGTTCCAGTCGACCGAAACCATCCTCGGAGAACGGCCCAAGTCCCACAACAGTGCGGCCACCCCGAACCCCCACTCGCTCACTCGACGGTGTGGTCACCGCGCCGTCTGGGAGCCCGTAACTTTCGTCCGACCCGCGATCCCCCTTCTGCGAGCGGCCAGTCCTGGAAGGCCGCGACAGGCCAACTTCGCGCTAGGCGCCTGGCGCCTACTTCTGGCCGCCCCACCACTGACCCGGCTGCTGCGTCGGCGGCCGCTGCGCCACCGGCTGGCTGGTCCCATAGGACCTCAAGCGTTGTGAGTTCACGTCGGTTTTCTTCCTCGACGTCAGACATGCGTAAAGATGACCGCTGGTTCCAAATGCTTTCCTCGTTGGATCATCCTGCTGCTGCTGCTCCTCCCCCTGCTCCTTCTTCTTCTTCTTCTTCTTCTTCCTCCCCCTCCTCGCGCATGTGCTCCACCTCATCCAAATCCTCTCGATCTGTCTCATCCTGCCCATCCGCGTCGTCCTCCTTCCTCCTTTCTCCTTCCTCCTGTTCCTACCCCTTCTCCTCCTCCTCGCCGTCCTCCTCCTCCTCCTCGTCCTCCTCCGCCTCCTCCTCGTCCTCCTCCTCTTCCTTCTCCTCCTCGAGATGGTCATCGTCCTTCTCGCGCTTTTCCGCCTTGTCCTCTTCTTCTTCCCAATCGTGCTGATATTCCTGTTTCGTGTCCTCCTGTTACTCCCCGATCTTCCTTCCTCCTTTTCTCCTCCTCACGATACTGTTCCTCCTCTTCGTCCTCCTCCTTCCGAGTCCCACCGTCCTCCACCTCCTGCCCGTGCTCCTCCTCCAACTCGTCCTCCAACTCGTCGTCCTCCTCCTCATCCTTGCGCATGTGCTCCACCTCATCCATACCCTCCCAATCTTTCTCATCCTTCCAATCCTCGTCGTCCTCCTTCCTCATGTTCCTACCCCTTCTCCTCCTCCTCCTCACCGTCCTCCTCCTCCTCCTCCTCCTCCTCCTCCTCCTCCTCCTCCTCCTCCTCCTCCTCCTAGTCGAGATGGAAGTCGTCCTTCTCGTGCGTTTCCTCCTCGTCCTCTTCCTCCCGTTCGTGCTGATATTCCTAATGCTTGTCCTCCTTCCCTGCTCCTCTTGCCTCCTTCCCCCTACTCACGATGCTGGTCCTCCTCCTCATCCTCCTCCTCCTGCTGCTGCTGCTGCTCCTCCTCCTTCAGACACCCACCGTCCTCCACCTCCTGCCCGTGCTACTCCTCCATCGTGTCCTCGTTCCCGTCCTCCTCCTTCCTCCTTCCTCCTCCTCCTCCTCCTCCTCCTCCTCCTCCTCCTCGCGCATGTGCTCCACCTCATCAATTACCTTCCAATCATTATCATCCTGCCAATCATCGTCGTCCTCCTTTCTCCTCTTCCTACCCCTCCTCCTCCTCCTGCTGATTGCCGTTGTTGCACTTCCTCCCGGTCATGCTGCTCCTCCTCTTTCTTCTCCTGGGCCTGGTCCTCCTCCTCCTCCTCCTCATCATCATCATCCTCAATATCCGCCTCCTCCTCCTCCTCATCCTCCTTACTGCTCTCCGTCTCCTTCCTCCACCTCTTTCCTCCTCATTTCCGCCGCGGCGATTATGCTTCCTGATCTTCCTTCTCCAAAACATCCTGCTGCTCCTCCTCCTCCTCCTCCTTCTCCTCCTCCTCCTCCTCCTTCTCCTCCTTCCTGCCGTTGTTGCACCTCCTCCCGGTCATGTGTCTCATCCTCTTTCTTCTTCTGGGCCTAGTCCTCCTCCTCATCCTCACAGTCCTCCTCCTCCTCATCATCATCATCCTCATCCCCCTTACTGTTCTCCTTCTCCTTCCTCCTTCTCTTTCCTCCTCATTTCCGCCGCGGCGATTCTTCTTCCTGATCTTCCTTCTCCAAAGTATACTGCTGTTGTTCCTCCTTCTGATGTTGCTGCTTCTGCTGCTCCTCATTGCCTGGGCTTCTTACTCCTCCTTGCCGTGCTCTCCCTCTGCCACTGATGCTCCTCCTCCTCTTCCTCCTCCTCCTCCTCCTCCTCATCCCCTCCTCCTGATGCCCTCCCTTATCCTTCTGCTGAGCCGACTGGGAGCTCCTCCTGCTCCTCCTTCTTCTCCTCCTCCTCCGCCTCCTCCCCCGCCCCCTCCACCTTCCTTCCTTCCTTCCTTCCTTCCTTCCTTGCTTCTTCCTCCTCCTCCTCCTCCTCGCGCATGTGCTCTACCTCATCCATACCCTCCCAATCTTTCTCATCCTGCCAATCCTCGTCGTCCTCCTTCCTCCTGTTCATACCCCTTCTGTTCCTCCTCCTCCTCCTCCTCCTCCTCCTCACAGTTCTCCTCCTCCTCCTCCTTCTCTCCTCCTCCTCCTCCTCCTCCTCCTCCTCCTCCTCCTCCTCTACCTTCCTGCCGTTGTTGCACCTCCTCCCGGTCATGTGTCTCATCCTTTTTCTTCTCCTGGGCCTGGTCCTTCTCCTCCTCCTCCTCCTCCTCCTCCTCTTCATCCTCACAGTTCTCCTCCTCCTCCTCCTCGTCCTCATCCTCCTTCTTGTTCTTTCTCTCCTTCCTCGTTCTATTTCCTCCTCATTTCCACCGCGGCGGTTCTTCTTCCTGATCTTTCTTTTCCAACATATCCTGCTGCTTCTCATCCTTCTGATGTTGCTGCTGCTGCTCCTCATTGCCTGGGCGTCTTCCTCCTCCTTGCCGTGCTCTCCCTCTGCCACTGATGCTCCTCCTCCTCTTCCTCCTCCCTCTCTCCTCCTGATGCCCTCTCTTATCCTCGTGCTGGGCCGACTGGGAGCTCCTCCTCTTCCTCCTTCTTATCCTTTTCCTCCGCTTCCTCCCCCGCCCCCTCCACCTTCCTTCCTCGTCCCTCGTCCCTCGTCCCCCATCCCTCTCCAGCCTCCCTCCTCCTCTCTCCTCACGCCTCCCTCTTATCGCCTCCATGCTCCCCGTTTATTCGCCTTGTCGTCGGCATTCTCCTCCTCCTCCTCCACCATTGATTCTGCTCCTCTGCCTCCTCCGCCTCCTCTTTCTCCTCCTCGTGCTCCGCCTTTTCCTCTCCTCCTCCTCCTCCTCCTCCTCCTCCTCCTCCTCGTCGTGATCCTGCTCCGTGTCCAGCCCAACCCAACACCCTGGAACACAAACACCGCGTGCTTCCGCAGCGATGCCGCTCAAGCAGCAGGTCCGTGGCCACCACGACTTCGCCATGCTGCTCCTGGCTCCTCTGCAGGGCGCCACGCCCTCGCCGCTTCAGAAGAGGCTGCGGCGGTGGCGGCGGCGGCAAGCCCACCGGTGTTCCCCACGCGGTTGGGTGTGATCGGCGGGCGACCTGTCTTGGAGCCCGGGCCGCTCTTCGAGGAAGCATATAAGAATGCTCGACCAAACTAGTGCTTTTCGTTTTCGTATTGTTTTCGTTTTCCCTCGTTTTGTCTTCGTTCCACCTTCGGTGCAAGACGAAGCCAACACGAACACGGTCCACGAAATCGCCAGAACACCGTTGAGGTCGAGCCTGGCATCGAAAGCCTGGGGCCTCGTGGGTCCAAACACCACCCGGCGAGATACGATTCGCAATGTATGGAGCGCCCGCCCCTGTCAGAACTCGGGTGGCGTACGGCAAGGCCAGAGCACGACCACCGCATCCCCATCCGCCCCCCCGAGGTCGCAAAACGGTGAGGTGACCACGCCGTCGGGTGAGCAAGTGGGGATTCGGGATGGCCGCACGGTTTTGGGACTCGGGCCGTTCTCCGAGGATGGTCTCGGGCGATTGGGGCATTCGTGGTCCCCAAAGCCATGCTGTGACTGACAGTGCTTAAGTGGAGAAGGGTTCGAAATCAAGTGGTAGAGCGGACCCTCTACTCCATATCTCATATTACAATTCGAGAAGACATGCTTGGAAATTGATTTCGCGCTCGCCTGGGGGCCACGTTCTTCGAGGCGTCGCCATTGAGGTTGCAGTGGTACTGAATGCCTTGCGCGAAAGCGCGATGTCCACATTTAGTCAAATGCGTGCGGACGTTTCTGCCCCATTGCTTTGCATGGCTTTGCGTTGCATCGAACGCGGTCGCATTGCAGCGCGTCGCCTTATGCGCGCGCACGCACGTACCGCCAGCCACGCACGCACGCGCACCACAAACCACTACGCACGCACGCAGACACACATGCACACGCGGTGGAATATGCACTCTGCGCTCCAACTCCCGCGGGATTGGTTGGTGGCGTGTCTCGTGCGGGCGTCCTCGCATGCTTGCGCGCTCACGTCAGAATGGCGCTCTCCCCTTTCGGTGGCCCTGACTTGTTTCGATATTCAAGGGGTTCACGCCAGTCCGCCGATCCGCAGGAAGTTTTTGAATGTTGTGCTGTTGCTTTTTTGGCGCCGAGGGTTTCGTGGCACTGCGAGACCATGTGAGACTTGCGGAAGGGCTCGGCGCCGAGGGTTTCGGAACGATTTGGAAGCCTTGAAGACGAGCGGTTGCGTTCGGCGCTGAGGGTTTTGTGGCGCTGTGAAACCATGTGAGGTTCGCGGATGTACTCGGAGCCGATGGTTTCGGGGCGATTTGGGATCCTTCGAGACGCGCCACTGCGTTCGGCGCCGAAAGTTTCGTAGCACTTCGAGGCAATGTGAGACTCGCGGATGTGCTCGGCGCCGACGGTTCCTTGCATGTTGGGACCCTTTGAGACTGTTTGAAGCCGCTTTGAGACCGCCCCGCCATCGGACGCGTCTGGTGTGAATTATAGCGGGCCGGGTCCGCCGCCGAGCGGATGGGGGCCGCCGCCCAGGCGCGATCCAAGCGGTGCAGAATTTTAGTCAACCTTCTGGCCCACGTCGGCTCGACGCGCGTGCGGCGCTGCATGTGACTGATGGAAGTTGCCGCAAATTTGATGCGTGCTCAAATTCTTCCATGCGAAAAGTGAAGAATTTCGTTTCCACCTTTTTTCTCCGTCTGTAATCAGCCCATGGGGCTGGTCCTTTAAATTACGCTTTGGAAGGCGGTGGGTCGGATTATTAGGAGGGGCCGCTCCGCGAAGCCGAAGCACCACGGGAATGGGGGCGTTTTTGTTAGGCACTTTGTGAGAAACCGGCGGTGGGCGGGGGGCTAGGCCGTCTTGGCGCGCAGTTTCAACTTCGTTCACGTCTGCACAGCCATGCACAAAAGCATTGCAAACTTGCGAATGACAATGACGCGTTGCCTTATCGTCGTGTTAAGTCGGGCGTGTCCCCCTACAGGGGGATGTCCGAGAGTATATTAAAATTAACCAAACATATTCAAACCTGATTGAACAATGCTAGAAAATCGTCCCCTGACGATTTTTTTGCTATTTTTGAATTTTCCTCTTTGAGAGGGACAGGCCCGACTTAACCGTCGTCATGGTTCATCGTTTACAGCCACCATCATCACTGCTGCCTGTGCGGGGCGTGGCATGGCTACCACCACAAACCATGAAAGCCACAAACCGAACCGAGAACCGAGAACCGAGAACCGTGACAAGACTGGACCGAACAAGGCCCAAACAGGAAACATCAAAAACCGAACTCGACCGAACCGAATTCTCGCAGAAACGGGCTGTATGCTGCAAACAGAACCAGCCGAACCGAACCCTTCGAAAAACTGGAGCCGAATCAAACCGTGTCCGGACCCAAGCCGAACTGGCCCAAACCGAACAGGTGTCAAAGCGAACCCGCCAACTTAAACCGAACTGGGGCGCAAACTGGCCCGAACCAGGCTGAACCGCGGCCACGATGGACAGCACCACTGCTGCCAGCATAGTCATACTGAAAAGCCAACACCACCACCATGAATGTCAGACTGGATTCCGCTGCTCAGAGGTCGGATTATTAAGGCCCCCCGCTGGGGGAAGGGTGGGATTTCAAGGTGCCGCAGCGGGAGGTTTTTTTTTAGGCTGGGGCCGTCTTATCAGGGATATGGGCTAAGTGGTAGAAAAGGTGCAGTTTGCCGCCTAGAACACATATGCTTGCAGGCAGGTTGCACAAAGACATCGAAGCCGAGGCCTCTCGAGGTTGTCGAGGTCACCGCACAGTCGGCCTCCACACCGTTTCGGGGCTCCCAAGCTGCGTTCGTTGGTTCGCGACCCTTCCTTTACCGCCTCCCCAGCCCCTGTCGTCCGACCTGGAAGGGGGCGGGCCGAGTGAGCCGACTTTTGCCCCTTACCATCCTGCTGTTCCCTGCGCCCCTTTATGAGGGTGGAGGCCCACTCTGGCGGCTAGAACTCGGCGTGAGCTTCGAAACGACGGTGCTGGCGCCTCGATCGGCCTTCTGTTGGCTACCTTCCAACTCGGGGGCCGATTGAAGAATGGTGTCGAATCGTCACAGGACCCCCCACTCCCGCAAGACGTCTTCGGCGACTCCGATGGGTGTGGTTTGCAAAGGGTGTGGTTTGCAACAGGCACTCTGGGGAGCACCCTTGGGGGCGGGCGGGCGATAGAGCTTCCCACCGCGCCCCGAGGAGGCCCGACGAGGATAGTCCCAATGGCGCCGATTGCAAGCGTAACCGTACCCTTTGTAGTCGCTCGCAGACGGCGAAGCCTTCGGGATCTCAGGCCGTCGGGTCACCTGTCACCAGAGCGAGCCAGAGCGGGCGAGCGCCGAAGCCGCTCCGCGCGTGCACCCAGAGAGCGCCTCCTATATCGGGAGGTCGACAGCGGGCCTCAACCAGAGGAAGCGTAAGCCCGGCGTCTCCCAGGCCACGCGGCCGTTGTCCTGCACTGCTGGCAGAGTCGCGGGCTCAGCGCGATGAGCGTAGGCCACCAAACCTCGCGCATCGCTCGCCTCGCGCCGCCCCCCGTGGTGAAGCGCAGCCGCTCTGGCCCTGACCGCGACCCACGAATCTGTGCGCCCCCGGGGGTGAACTGAGCCCGGTTTGGGGGACTGCCGAATGGCCGCGGGCGCTACAAGGGCGCCCCCCCATCGGCAACGCGTGTGGAGGCCGGCCCGGGACGGCTAGGCCCCGCGCTGGCCGTACGACTGCTGCGGCGGCTGCTGCTGCTGCTGCTGCGGCTTCGGAGCGCCAAACGACACCACGAAGGTCTGGTCGACCGGCCCGTCGCAGGGCACCTCGCTGGAGGACGGGGTCGCAGTGGTGTGCCGCCTCCTTCCCGTCGCTGGCCGCCATGTGACCCTCCTCCTCCTCCTCCTCCTCCTCCTCCTCCTCCTCCTCCTCCTCCTCCTCCTCCTCCTCCTCCTCCTCCTCCTCCTCCTCCTCTTCTACTCCTTCTCCCCCACTCCTCCTCCTGCTCCTCCTCCTCCCTCCTCCTCCTCCTCCTCCTCCTCACCCTCCTCCTCCTCCTCCTCCTCCTCCTCTCCTTTTCCCTCTCCTCCTCCTCCTCTCCTTCTCCTCCTCCTCCTCCTCCTCCTCCTCCTCCTTCCGCCTCCTCCTGCTCCTCCGATCCTTCTCCGCCTCCTCCTCCTCTTCCTCCCCTTCTCCCCCACTCCTCCTCCTCCTCCGCCTCCTCCTCCTCCTCCTGTTCCTCCTCCTCTCCTGCTCCTCCTCCTCCTTCCTATTCCTCCTCCTCCTCCTCCTCCTCCTCCTGCTCCTCCTCCTCTTCCCTATCCTCCTCCTCCTCCTCCTCCTCCTCCTCCTTCTCCTCCTCCTCCTCCTCCTTCGCCTCCTCCTGCTCCTCCTCCTTCCTATTCCTCCTCCTCCTCCTGCTCCTCCTCCTTCTCCGCCTCCTCCTCCTCCTCCTCCTCCCCCTCCTCCTTCACTTCCTCCCCTGACTGCGCACATCCCTTGAGAACATCATGTCGTGGTGATCACACAGGCGTGCGAGCGGGTGAAGAGGAGGGAGGCGCACTCACGATGATGAGGAGGGGGAACAGTGGCAGGTTGGGCCCGCCTCGGATGGCAGCCATCACCGCCACCGTGCTGGAGGCGACGGCCCATACCGACGCCGATGTCCCTATGTACGATTCGCACAGGCGATCGAGCGATCGAGGGCCATAGGATGGGACAGCGAGCATTGAGAACCCAAGGCCGCCGCGCCACCCAGCGGCGACAACTTTCGAGTTTGGAACGGCACAGGAATGTGCAGAATCGAGACGTACAAGTTTCGACCTGGATGCGTTGCATTTGACACTGGTACCCCGATGCAATGCGCGTGCGCGCCCGTGCTTCGTGGACGGACGCTCGCAATTGAACTTTTGCTTAGCGTGTCGCCATGGCAGCCCCAGCGACACGCTATTGGACAGGCGCGTTCCACTACTCGCAAATCAACTACTCGCAAATTGCCTGGATCCGCCGCGGGGGATCTACGATATTTTACATAGAGGAAGACCTGCCTATTTCTAACGCTTGCAAGTAGGCACTTTGCGAGTAGTGGAACGCGCTCGGCGAGCTATACCCTGCAGGCGGATTGTGTCGCTCCGCTCCGCGGGGTGGGAGGCCTCGAAAGGCTCGGGACGCTCATGCCTCGGGACTGGGACGCGGTCATCGTGCCGTGCCGAAGCGCGGTGGGCCCGAGCCGGCGGAGCCACACGCTAAGCAGACGTTCCTCACCGCAGGGCCCACGTCTACGCCAATGCTGAAGCAGTGGCGAAGCGTCCTGGTACACCTATAACCATACCAAACACTGTTCTAAGAATCTTTTGTGGTTTCCACGAAATGTTCTTAGAACATTTCTGGCGGAGTCTGTCTTGTTTGATCACATCGGGCTTATGTTCGAAAAACATTGTTTATGTTCTTAAAACATGTTTGGGTTCTGAGAACATCTCGTGATAGGACTATAGGAATGCCGGGACGGTCGGTCCTTGCTCACAATGCACGCTGACACTGACTTCGCCTTGCTGCCCCCGTTGCGGGCTCTTGCTTTTCAGATGCCCTGTGGCCCCTACCCCCGTGGACCCCCTGGGGGGCCCAACGGGGCGAGAGCAGCACTGGCGGAGAGAAGTTCCCCAACCAGGATCCGGTCCAGGGGGCAATTATTTGCTGGGGAGAAGGCGGAACACTGAAGAGGCAACGGGCTGACGTGGCAAGACACACGCCATACGGGCAATCGTTACGCGAACGGGAGCGGATACATCAAACCGGCGAGACAATTAGCAAGCCGCCAAGTTTTGCGTAACAGTCACCATTTTGAAGCTACTGTCGGGTCTGAGGCCCATCAACGCATCGTGCCGGTCAGGCCTTTGAATGCATCTACGCTCCTGGAAAAGCCGCGATCCGAGCGAGCATGCCAGGGCAATTCATCATGAGCAAACGGGTCGACTGGTTCGCGAAGACCCTAACTATGTCCTCCTCCTCCTCCTCCTCCTTTTAGGAGCGGAGGTTGATCGTGCGGCGCCGGGGGGCCTTCCAGCCTGTCGTCGGCGGCGTCATGGTGTTGCTCGGGTGGTACGCCCAGACCTGGTCGCCTCCTGACGGGAGAGGGTGACGCAAGCAGCAGGAATGGGGAGGCTTTGGGAGGTTTCCCAGTGGGGGGGGGGCACGTAGCGAGAAGGGGAGGGCGATGGGGATGGGGGGGCCAGGGGATGCCGAAGAGAGAGGTCGAGGGAAGTGGGGTGCGGGGAGAAGAGGGCAGAGGAAGATGAGGAGGAGGAGGAGGAGGAGGAGGAGGAGGAGGAGGAGGAGGAGGAGGAGGAAGGGGGGGAGGAAGAGAATGGGAAGGAAGACTGAGACGGCATGGAAGTTTCCACGACGGTGTTTTCGTGCGGCAGATGTCGGCGCTCATGAATATGAGATCCTGTGTCGCGCCTTTGGTCACCCGTGTCCACATCATCGGTATCGCTCTCATCGTTTTTCCGTGCAGCGCAGACTGTTCTAACATGCACCTGTCGTCAATATGGTGTTGCCACTCTACATCTAAACTGCACAGCGACGGAAACAATGCGTAGCACGTGGCAAGTGGCAATCTAACGTGTGCATGTGGCTCGTAGCACGTGGGTAAGATGTGTTAGAGACAAGGTCGCACGACAACGACATGCAACTTATCAATTTAGTAGCGCGCGTGCGCGATCAGGACTTGTGCCGCAACCCCCTCACCCCGCCCGCTAGCCAATGTCCCCCCTTGAGACGCAAGGGTGCCCTTCAGCCGAAGCGGCAACTTTCCTGCGGGCAATTCCCCGCAAAGGAGACGCCGAGGGCGCGTGCCTGGGCCTGGACGGACATGCCAGGCCATGCCTCTATACCCGTGCAGGGGTGCTGTACCAGTGCAGCCAGCGACGGCGAACACAACCACCCCCCCAGTACAACCGAAACGACCCGTCTCCTCCCCTTATCTCGCATAGACCCTCGGTTCCCGCGGGCGGGACCAGCCAACTCCGAGGCAGAAATGGCAAGCAGACGCCCGCCGTGCGCTTCTGCTCGAAGGCTGGGACTCTTCTGCTGCTCGCCGCTGCAACCGCATGTGCTGTCTCTCCCCGTTCCCTCTCTAGAGAACTGGCCATCGCTCGGACGTCCACTCCCTGTGTTTTCTTCGGTTTCGTGCGTGGATTTTTCGCCAAATGATCAGAGATGCTCCTCGATGGTCCTCGCCGAAGAAAAACTCACACGTCCGAGCGATGCCAAGAACGGCGTCCGTAAACATGAATTTTCGGAGCTCGGCGCGGATGCCTTGGATCGGCGCCGGGCCCCCGTGGCGGTGCCTCCGGTCCCCTGCCAGGGAGGGGGGTCCAACGCAGCTCCAAGAAATCAGCGCGGAGATGCGAAAGCAGATTCCCCAAACAGTGGTTGCACTGAGGGAATGTTGTGTGTGTCCTGAGAGTGTGGACGGGTCTGCCGAAGACTCGCTACGTTGCCGCCCGTTGCCGCCTGCGGGGTATGCAGAACATTCGCCTCACTGCCACCCGTTGCCGCATCGTTGCCGTACGTGGGTGTGGCAAGGATTCGCCACGTTGCCGCTCGTTGCCGCTTCATCGCCGCCTCGTTGCCGACTCCTGCGCTGCGCGGGTATGCCGCGGATTCGCCTCATTCCCGCCCGTTGCCGCCTGTGGGGGTATGCCGAAGATTCGCCGCGTGGCACTCCAGTTGCCGCGTCGTTGCCACCTCGGTGCCGCCTTGTGCGCTGTGGGTATGCCGAGGTTGCGCCACGCTGCCGCCAAGGACCGCCCGTTGCCGCCTCGTTGCCGCATAGATTGCGCGACATAGCGTACACTGCATGCATTCCACCGCAGAGCTTTCACCTCCATAGCTCGCACCACACACCGTTTACGACACAGCTTGGGCCACATAGCTTGCCCCCATGTGATCCAGCTGCAGTGCAATACCTCACTCTTTGGGGTCAAACATGCTGTGCATGCAGATGTGTTCCTCGTCCCCTCTCAGAATGAATCAACCCTGTCCTGGAGCGGATTATGACCGAAACCTCGAACGGAATCAAAAGTAGCGGCGATGGCCCCTCCCCCAGGAGGCCCGCAGAGGCGAAACCGTCCAACTCTTTTGCCTGCCCCTATGTCCACCTCCTCCTCCTCCTCCTCCTCCTCCTCCTCCCTCTCCTCCTCCTCCTCCTCCTCCTCCTCCTCCTCCTCCTCCTCCTTCTTCTGCAGGACCCATCCCCCTCGTCAGCAAGAGTTCAGGGTCAACGATAAGGGGGGCCAGCTCAGGGGGGAGAGCCGTCGCCTCGACCTGGAATGAGCAGTGCATCGCCGAGAGATCGGCGACAGGACCCCGATAGGGGACAGAGGATCCGCACGTTCCTGGGCGGGGGGTGCTGTCGGGCGCCTGTTGGCGATGCATCGGCGGTTGGGCGCCGATGCCTGCCCCCCTAAGCCATCCCCCCCTGACATTGCCCCTGAGGACCCCTCCCCCTCGTCGGCACAAGGCGCTGGCGGCAGCGGCGGCTCCGACTTTCGGGCCGAACCACCAGCCGCTGAAGGCCTGGCAGCCGCTTCCGCGCCGGGGCTCTCGTTGCGCCGTCGTCTCCGCGCGGCCGCAGCCTTCCCAGACCCCCCTCGTCGTGATTTGTTTCGCAGCATGGGCCCCGAGAAGTCCAGACCCCTCCCCGGGGCCCCGAGACAGGCTTCTCGTCCCGAGTCGTCTTGTGCTGGCCCGTGGGGCAGGCGAGGGCCTGCGGAGGCCGACTCCCCCCCGGAGCCTCCCGCCGCGGTCGCCTCCACGACCCGAAGGGGCCCCGGGGACCCCCACGCACGGCGGCAGCAGAGGCCGGCGCACCGCGGCGGCCGACGTGCCGACCCGGGGCCAGGCGTCGACGGCTGGAGGGGGGGGGGCGCCCTGGGCGCACCGAGGGCCGCCTCTCGCCGAGGACGGCCCCTCGGTGCCGAGACGGGGCCGCCAACGGCCGTGGGCGGCGGGAGCGGCAGCCAGAGGAGGAGCCTCGCGAGGAGGAGGAGGAGGAGGAGGAGGAGGAGGAGGAGGAGGAGGAGGAGGAGGAGGAGGAGCCAGCGAGCGTCGCAGGAGCCCGGCGTCCTCCAACTTATGGCCGACGCGGCGAAGCGCAGGCTGCGCACGGGCCTCTCGCTTCCAGGTCGAAAGTGGAGGCGGCGTTGATGATGTCGTCGCGGTCGTTGTGAAGGAGGAGGTAGGAGGAGGAGGAGGAGGAGGAGGAGGAGGAGGAGGAGGAGGAGGAGGAGGAGGAGGAGGAGGAACCCCTGCTCTTATGGAGCACACAGCTGAGGCTGAACATCGAGAGACCGTCCCTGCGAGTTGGCGACTCCCAATCCTGGCTAGATTGAGGACGCAGCCTGGAGTTGTGCTTCATCGAGTGGGCCAGTGCGAGTTCGGTCAGTCTGCTAAGAAGCACACTGAGCTCGTTGCTGTGCACCCCCCTTGCATGTGTCGTGTTCTCAGGGAGGGAGTCTCCAAGTTGGGGGAGACACACCCACCATGACCACTTACGAGCCCCGGAGGTCAGGCCCGCCAGCGGGGAGTGGCGCACATCCAGAGCGAAGACTTCTCCACATCAATGTTGCCGGCTTTGTTGGCCGAGTGTTTTTTCTGAAGCTGCCTCCAGGCAGTTTGCGGGACCAGGTAGTCCCCCTGAACTTGCCCGAGGATGTTGCCTCTTCTTGTGCCCCTGGACCCGATTCTTTTCAGCGCGGGAGGGACTACGTTTGCAATTACGTTACCCTTTCAACTCTGTCCATGGATGGTGTGCGCTGCACCTCAGACTCTCGCAGTACCGATTTTCGGGCAAGCTCCATGAAACGTCCTGCTGTGACGTACTCCTCAAGGGTGTGCGCAGCACCTCGAATATTGCCAGCACTTGAGGTTATTGATGCTGTCGTGTGCGTGGCACTTTAACTCGCAGTAGCACGGGGAGGGGGCTTGTCTTTACTCGGATGTTTTACATTTGAACTACCTGTGTGAAAATGACAACTCTGCTCAGCTGACTCTGGTCAAACCCGTCCCCCTCCCCACCAAAGGCCGCTGTTCAATTCTGGTCCCAACGTCGTCCTACTAAGTGAGACCACAACCGACCGTGTTCTACATCGGCCTGATGGTGATGGGTTTCACACCTGACCGTGCCCTACGAGGACTGGGCCTTTTACTTTTAAATCACCACGTCGTGGAGGGTTCGGGCCTTGTATATGGGGTGGGGGGCTCTGGAGTTGCACGTGGAGGACGCGCCACTGCCGCGATCGCTGCCTCTCTCCGTTTTTGTTCAATCGCTGCTCTATGCTCTAGTTGATTGGGACTCAGATTCCGTTCAGAAGGCCACAAACGAACGAACGAGAAGGAGGAGGCGGATGGGCATCGCAATATGGAGGAGGCTGAGGAGGAGGACGACGACGAGGAGGGCGAGGGTGGAGGACGAGGGGGGAGGAGGGGGACGGGGGATGAGGGAGGAAGCGGAGGCACAGGGGGAGGAGGGATATTCCTCTCCTTCTCTTGCTTCAACTGGGCCCGCTCCTCCTGCTCTGCTCCACATCCCCCCCCCTTCCTTGGAGTCCCCCTCCCACCGCTTCCTTCTTCCACTCCCCGTCCCAGTCCTTCAACCCGGGTCCCTCCACTCGCCCCCGCGGCCCTGCTCCCCAAGCACCTGCTGCTGCTCACCCTCCCGCTCCTCCTCCTCCTCCTCCTCCTGCTCCTGCTCCTCCTCCTCCTCCTGATCCTCCTCCTCCTCCTCCTCCTCCTCCTCCTCCTCCTCCTCCTCCTCCTCCTCCTGGTCCTCCTCCTCCTCCTCCTCCTCCTCGTGCTCCTCCTCCTGCTCCTTCTCTTCCTCCTCCTGCCTCTTGCGCGCTGCTTACCGGGGGGGGGGGAGGCGATCGAAGAGGCGGGGGGGGGGGGCGAAGAGACGTGCGCCGGTCGTGCCCCAGGGGGCACATTCCGGTGCACGAGAAGTGCACCTTTCTCCCCGCCTAAGGATGGGATCCGAGCAGACGGGGGGTCGGAGGACTGCACCGCATCGCCGAAAGGCATCGCCGATGCGTCGCGATCCTCCGACCCCACCTGCTCCGACCCCAGCCGGGCGGCACTGCGCAGCGCCTGAGCATCGCCCGCCTCGGCCTCCTCCGGCCGACCAGCCGAGGCTCTCGGGGAGCAGCTGCGCCCCTCGGCCCCCCCTTTGACCCCCACGCGGTCTCTCGCCATCGCCTGCCTGGGCGTCCCTTCGACGTTCCTGCTTCGGCTCCGCGCGTGCCTGCTTTCGCCACGTGAACAAGAATACTCCTCGATGGAGGAGGAGGAGGAGGAGGAGGAGGAGGAGGAGGAGGATTTTTGTGCTCCTCCGTGGGACGCCGATCATGCCAGCTGCGAGGAGGAGGAGGAGGAGGAGGAGGAGGAGGAGGCCCTTGCCGATAAAAAAACACACACGCCCGAGCGGTGCCAAGGTCTGGGCGTGCTCCGCCGCCTGCGGCCTCCTGGCCCCCCTCCGCGCCCGCTCGCCCTCTCCTCTGGTGCCCGCCTGGGGCTCCGAGGCGTCCCCCGTCGGCTGCCCCGACCGCGCCTTGGGCCCCGGGGCCGCCGCCGACGAGAGGCAGCTCCTCCTCCTCCTCCTCCCTCCTCCTCCTCCTCCTCCTCCTCCTCCTCCTCCTCCTCCTCCTCCTCCTCCTCCCCTCCTCCTCCTCCTCCTCCTCCTCCTCCTCCTCCTCCTCCTCCTCCTCCTCCTCCTCCTCCTCCTCCTCCTCCTCCTCCTCCCCTCCGCCTCCTCCGCCTCATCCTCCTCCTCCTCCGCCTCCTCCTCCTCCTCCTCCATCTCCTCCTCCTCCTCCTCCCTCCCCTTGGGTTGCCGATGCCACGACAATGGACACCCCGACAGCCCGATCATTGAATCTAAAACGTGTTTAACATGTCGGAAGCCATGCTCTAAACATGGTTTAAACATGTTTTACATGTTTAGAACAGGTTCTAGACATCCGGAAACTGTTTGGCAACATGCTTCCGCTCCATGGGTCGTCCTCCACAACCCGTGGGCAACCCATCGGGGCGCCAAAAGAGGCCTGCCGCAGCAGGCCCCCCAGCCCCCCTTCGGCCCCTCCCGCCGAGGGCGCGGAAGGGGCGCGCGAGGGGCGGGCGAGCGACGGTGTGCGCTCGCTGCCGGGGGCCCAGGGCCCAGCTGCAGTCAGAGCTGTCGCCGCCTTCGGCGGCAGCGGAGGCGCCGTGCGAGGATCCGAAGCCGCCCCCACGCAGCGGCCGAGCGGCCCTCCCGAGCAGCGCGCCTCCCGAGAGCGGAGCCGCCGGGGCGCCTCCCTCCCCCCCCCCCCCCCACCGTTGGGTACCCCTCCCGCTGACGAACAAAAACGTTCCTTCCCCCCGTTGGGGGTACGTAACCCAGCGCGTCGACGAGCTCTCGAGAGGCGTCGAGACCGATGCCCCCACCCCACCCCCGCAGGGGGAGCGCAGCTCCCCCCCCCAGTTGTGGCCTTGACTGCCCCCCAGGCGCGCGGGACCCGGGCATCCTCCGATGTGACTTTTGCAATCCAAGACCCAAGACCCCCTAGAGCCATGGGAAAACACGACACAAGGCTTATCGCTATTTGCGGCCTCTGGGGGAAGATCCTGCAGGATCCTGCAAGGTCCTGCACGCTAGCCTGGATCAATGCGCCCCCGGCTCTGCAGGATCCTGCAAGATCTGGCACTCTGGCTGACCCCCGTTTGCATCGACCCCCGTAAGACGAAGCCAGGACGATGAGAATTTCCGGTGAGAGTAAATCGAGAATCTTTGAGATCCCGCGGCTCTGTAGGATCTCTCGGGCACCATGGCCTTCTCAAAGCGCTCCGGAACGCTCTGAGAGCATTCAGGAACGCTCTGGGACGGATATATCCTCGTCCTAGCCCCGTCCGACCCCGTCCCTTGAGCCCCGACCCTTCTCCTGGGGCAGTTCCGGAACAGATCCATATGGAGCTCATTTTTTCATCAACACGGGCGTTATGGGGGGGGAGGGGGGGAGGGATGAGGGATGGGAGGGGGCATAATGTAGCGCCCCCCCCCCCCCCCTTCAGACTGTGGTGGTGCCAGACGCACTGCGGCAGTGCCAGGGACGCGCTGAGGGGGGAGCGGTACGATATTGGGGGGGGAGGGGAGGGGGCGTAATGCGTGGTATGGCCCAGAGGGTAACAAACAATATGATGGCCCTGGAGCCCGATGGCGCGCCTCAGAGCCCTGACTCCGGATCCGCCCTACTTTGGCTTTTTTTCCAACTTAAAATTGCGTCGGAAATCAACCTATAAGAGGCCGGAAAAGTAGGGCGGAAATTGCTGCACCCAACATAAAATAGGGCGGAAATCCACAGAAACAGCAACAGAAAAGTAGGGCGGAAATTGGCATCAGCGGGGCTTGAAAAGTAAGGCGGAAATTCCAAGCACCACTTACGAATTTCCCCAAAGTAGGGCGGATCCGGAGTCAGGGAGCCCCAAGTCGAGGACACCTCACCGTCGAAGGTCTGGGCCTTTCTCTCTGCAGAGGAGGCGTCCAGCCGCCGCCCGGTCCGCGGGGGGGCACCACAGAAGAAAATGGCACGGCGCGGCGGCTGCTGCCGGCCCGCCAACCTCTGGGAAAAGCGCGGGCAGCCGGCCGCGCTCGGAGCTTTACACACGAAGAGGAGGAGGAGGAGGAGGAGGAGGAGGAGGAGGAGGTGGAGGAGGAGGAGGAGGAGGAGGAGGAGGAGGAGGAGGGAGGAGGAGGAGGGAGGAGGGGAGGAGGAGGAGGAGGAGGAGGAGGAGAGGAGGAGGAGGAGGAGGAGGAGGAGGAGGGAGGAGGAGGAGGAGAAGGAGGAGGGGGAGGAGGAGGGGGAGGAGGAGGAGGAGGAGAGGAGGAGGAGGAGGGGGGGGAGGGAAAGGATAAAGAGGAAGAACAATCGGCGGATGAGGGGAAGACGGAATCGGCGGAACCTTGTTGGGCCGGAGTCGGACTACATCGAACAAGCACGCGCATCGAGACTTGAAACTTGGACGTGTGCGACATACCCTGCGTGTCCGAAGACGTTGGTTGGAAGATGGTCTCCACGGGAGGAACATGGAGAGGAGGAGACATAAGAGGAGGGTCAACCTTGCCAGGTCGAACGAGTCAGCGGGCCGTGGAACGTGTTCCTTCCTAGCAAGCGGACGGCGCTCGCGCGCGGTTCCGCTTCCGATAAATTGGCGAGGGACAAGAAGACGCAGGCCGCGCAAGGGAGTGAGCGGAACTTCAGAAAATACGCGGGCGGCGTAGCGCCAAGGACAACATTTATATCTCTCTAGGGGGACAAAGATAGCAACGAAAGGGCCCGCAACCCTTTGCGTGGGGACCTAAATTAGGAGTGCCGAAAATGTCTGAAAGCATTAGGGATACGCGGGACTTGTTCTGCGGATGTTGTCAAACCAAAGTGCCCAGAACTATTATCACTAATTCAACGACGGGGATCTAAGTGAGGTCATGTCTTCATTCTGTTCTTGGAGTCAGGGGTTCTTTTGCCCTCGATGAGCCAAGCTTCCGATGAGCGCGGCGAAGACACGGCATGCGCCACGCTCGCGCGCCACTGCCACTTTCGCACACACACGCACACACACACACACACACAAATGGCGCGGCCCTGGGCGATGACAGCATTCCGCCCGCTCTCGCGCGGCCCCGCTGCCGCTGCCGATCTCATCGATGCGGCGGGCGAGACATGCGCCGCGCCCCATGCAGGAGAACGCCACTTCCAAGGGCAGAGCGTGCACGGCATGGCACGCTGGGGGCGCGGGCGACGAGGTCGCCAGAGCTCTCGTGCGACGCGCCGCCCCCGTTTGGCGCGGCGAGCGAGACGTACGCGCCGCGCCGACGGGGGAACGCCACGTCCAGGCGACGTCCTGCGCGGCGCTGCGACGAGAGTGGCATGCTCGCCCGCAGACGCATTGAGGACTGGCGAGCGCGAGCGTGCGCGCGACGCCGAGGCGACGGCGACGTTTCGCCCTTTTTCGCGCGGAGTGCGCGCCCCGTCCCCTTCCCGCCACGGGTTTTGCAAAAAAATGCGTCGACGGCCCACGCGGAGCCGCAAACGCGTTGACCGTTTCTTGCAAGTAATTAGGATGGCGGGATGGAACCCCGATCGCCTGGATAGGTGACAGAATATGGATATATGCGAGAGGGAGGATATTGAGGGTGCAGGGGCAAGAAGAACAAGTGAGAACAGGAGCAGCATGATACGGAGATGAAAAGGGGCAAGCCGATGATGATGCGGATGGTGGTGATGATGATGCTGATGACGACAACGATAAGTTGATCATGCGCATGAGGATGATGAAAAGAAGGAGGAGGAGGAAGATCACCAGACGATACACCAAGTGCGGCAGAAGGCACCTGCCGCAAATCTCCACGTTTCCAACAGCACGGTGCGCATATGTTACAAGAAACCGAGCAAACTAGAATGCAATGAACAAATCCGCCAGCTCATGGAGGCGTGTGAGAGCAACGCCCGCCAACGCTCTCCCCCCATCTCCTTCCGATCCTCACCCTTCCTCTCTGAGAGTGAAGCACTGCACCCCCGACTTCGGCGCCACCCGCGATGATCCCATACTGGTCCGCCAAGTGAATGGGGACGAATGAAAAGATGGCGGTTGATACTTCGTGGTGCCGTCTGCGAAAGCTGGGGTCGAAGAATGCGCTCCGATGCTCTCCCCTGCCCTCTGCACCGTAGTCCCACCACAGCCTGAGCCCTCTGCGTCCCAACGGCTCGTTCCGCGGTGCCCGTGCGACTCCGCGCTGACCGACGAATGACGGCACAGAGACGCGTTTCCCCAGAGATCCTATATTTTGATGTTTCAAAACGGGGTCCCCAGAGGTCTGGACTCCAGGCCCCCGAAGGTCGGCCTGAGTAGAGTTTCTTGACGGTCCTGGTAAGGGTCACCAGATACCAAAAACGACCAGAAACAGCTGCCCTGACTTTCTCGCTACGTTGGAGGTCTGGGTCGGTGACATGGGGCCGCAGCCTTCAACGTCAGAGCAGGGCCGACGTAAAGCTGCCAGGGCCTGGACGCGCGAGCAGGGCACCGAGCTAGCGGGCCCGAAACTGCACGGGCACGCGCGCCGTCACGGCCAACGCGCTCCTCTCTGAGAGGCGGCGGGCTCCAGAGAGCAGAGGCTGTCCGAGGGCATGGGTCAGGCCAGGGCGTGCCAGGTGTCCACCGAATCTTCGCATGAAGCGAACGGGTCCTGAGCTGAGGAAAGGCAAGCATAGATCAGCGACGTGTGGATCAGCGACGGGTCACGCGTCCGTGCAAGATCGGCGCGTCCCGTCGCCAAATCGGGCGGCACTGGCCTCACACTTCGGGGAGTACCTTCCCCGATCCGTGGATCTGGCGCAAACGTGCCAGATCCACGGATCCCTAATCCGTGTGGACGAGCACCCAGCTGGGGGAACGGCTCCTGGACCCCGGGGGCCTTCCCCCCGGATCTCCGATGCTGCTTCCAACCCGCGGTGCCTTTTTGCAGATGTCGGCCCTCTGGTGCTGTTTTCGGCCCTGGGGACGGTCAAACATGCATCTGGGGCGACCCCCGGGGAAAAGGTCGGGCCGCGGATGGAACAGACCACGTCGGCGGATGCCCGGGGTCTCTGTCCCGGGTCGTTTTGAGACATGGCCACGGGGCCCGCGGTGGGCACGGAGGGAGGCCAACGACGGCGGAACAAAACCTCGCTATAGACAGGCGCGTTCCACCACTCGCAAAGCAACTACGAAGGACGGGGGCCGCGGGAGCGGGGACCTGGCATGGGAATCTAGCGGAGGCTTGGATAGAGTCGAGTGGGCTAGCAAGCGGCCTGGATCCGCACCTACGGTTGTGGATGCCACGACCATGGACACCCTAACAATCGTATCATTGAATTCAAAATGTGTTAAAAATGTCGGAAGCATGCTCTAAACATGTTTTAAACATGTGTTTAACATGTTTAAAACACGTTTCACACATGTTGCAGACATCTGGACGTTCTTCGGCAACATGCTTCCTCTCCATGGATCGCCCTCCACAAACCTACGATCCACCACACCGAGGCACACATACGTTTTTGCTCCTGACGTTTGCGAGTACAGTAAAACAGAGCTAGGATCGGGATACATCGCTCCAGAGCGTTCCAGAGCGCTCTCAGAGCGTTCCGGAACGCTCTGGAGCGGCCGCGGCGCCCAATACATCCTCCAAACCCGCCGATTCTCAGAGATTTCGAGTTATCCCGATCCGATTTTGTCCCGATCTTCGCGTCGTTTTATACAGGCGCTCTGCGAGCAACAATGGCATGCGCTCGGCGACTCGGGGCCCGCTGGCGGGCAGGCTGGCCGCGCCGGCCCCGAAGACCTGGCTCGAAGACAGGCGCGGGGGACGAAGGCAGGCGTGTGCACGAGCCCCGGCCCAGACCTGCCCGGCCGGGGTCATGCGGGGTGAACGACAAGGGGGGGATAGCTGAAGGGGCCCCAGGACACACAAATAAATACACACAAATAAAACTATTCCCCATATTTTCCTATATTTTCTGGGCTTCTGTCTTCCCCCCCACTTCCCATATTTTCCCATATTTTCTGGGGAGTCGAAGATTAATTGTGTCTGTGTGTTTTTTTCCTCCTGAATAGCAAAGGGCAGGTAGAGAATCAGCTCACGTAGCTGATTTTCCCAGCGCCCTCCGGCGCCGGGAGGCGCCCATGTATCGAGGAATGGGCCCGGCGGCGGGGCCGAAACCAGCTGCATGCAGCAGACTTCGTGACCCCCCCTTTCCCGATCCCCCCCTCTCGTTCGCCCCGGGTCATGCAGGTGGGCACCTGGCGCCCCCGAGCATGGTGAGGTTCTGGAGGCATGCAAACGGCAGGCACCGAATAGTTGTTGCCAGAGTCCGATGGCTCCAAGGAGTGTGCGCGCGTTCTCCTGCTTTTAATCCGCCTGCGCCTTCGGCGTTGTCGTCTAGCTTTTCGTGATCGTCGACGCACTTCCCCTTCTCGCCCTCGCCATCCCCTTGCACTACAACTCCAGCTCCGCGCGGATGTCTCGGATCTGCGCTGGGCCACGGGATTGCAGCCCAGATTCAGGAGATCCGCGCGGAGCTCCGACAATGTACGGTTGCGCATTTTTTGTTTCGTTCGTCTGACGATAGGCGGTCCGTACGGCTACGCTTTTTTTACGTTATTTTTGTATGTCCAGTTTTACGCTCCAACACGCACACCCATACTCATAGGCAGGTTGGAGGGACAAAAACTGGCTGTAAGTATGGATGCGGTTTGTCGGACCCCGTCGGAAACTCCTGTTCGAGCGAGGACCCCCATCCGACAACACGCAACCGTAACCCCGTCCGTCCTCCATCATGGAGGCTGTTGCGGGGCGGGGGTTTGTCCATAGCCGCCGCCTGGGAACCGTCGCTCTGGGGAACCAGCGGGCGGTGGAGAACTATCCCTCATCGCCCGCGGAGGTCCGCGAAGATCGGTCCTCCGGGCGGTGGTGATGTGCGAATCCCCGCCTCGAAGCTACGCCCTCCTCTCCTCCCTCTTGAGGGATGAAAAAACGGCCCTACCCTGGGTTGCAAGTGCGTGGTCTGTAAACCTCCTGGGAACCCCCAAAGCCTAAAGCCGCCAGGACGCGGCACATCACGCAGGGTTTACCCTGTCAGCCCACAGGAGTTTCAGCGCACAGCGCCTCGTAAACCAGGGTAGGGGAGTTTTTTTTATCCCCTTGACCCTCGGGAGCCGCCCCCCCATGCCTGGGGAAGTGTGCGCCCGCGGGACGGGCAAGCGGCCGCACCAGCGGAGCGCGGCCTCACACCTGGTCCGCGACCTCGTCCGCTGGGCCTGCCGGCTTCGTGGCACCGCGGCTCCTTCCTCGACCTCCTCCTCCTCCTCCTTCTCCTCCTCCTCCTCCTGCTCCTCATCCTCCTCTCGCCATTCGAAGAGGAAATCTACTACAAAATTGCTGTACGCCGCAATTGTGTGTCCGACGGCTGTGCAAAACATGTCCAATGCTTGTAGATACCCGAAAAGAAGTGTTTTCGCAAATCAGACGAGCATGTTCAGTTTGGGGTAAATCAATTGCAGTTGATTTCCTCCTCTCGCCATTGACGCACGAACTCCAACGGACGGCGGCCACCCCGGGGGGATGTGGGGGGAGGGCCTTATCAGAAAGTTCGGAAGTCCTCCAGCCTTCTGAAAAGTGTCCTAGGCCTCCCCCAGAGGAACCGAAAACCTCTCCGAAGGCGCTCCGTCTTCTGAGAAGCCCCGCCGCCTTCTGAGAAGGCCTCTTCCTTCTCACTTCCCTTCCCCCGCTCGCATCCGATCATTGGAAAAGACGATAAGGGTGGATAGCTGATGGGCGGGTGTTGCACTTTTCGGGGCTCGGCAATAGCAACATTGTTTCGACCGCCGGAGTGGGGGGGGGGACGACTTGAACATACGCGCGGTGCAAATTTTCGATTAGTGCGAAGATGGCGCATCGAATGTCGCGGTAACACCGGTTCTAACCAGATGCATCGGCGCGCGGCGCGAGCCCGATTCCACGGCTGACCTCTACCCCTGGCCACGATGCCAGTAGTTAGTTGGAAAGAGATATGGGCACGCACTGTGAGGCGGAGTGGCGAGTCGCGAGGAAGATTGCGGCGCTGGGACACTTTGCTAAGGGGCGACAAAGCCTCGAGGCATGTTCTGTCTGATGCGATGCAAGACAAATCGCGGGAACATCGCAATCGCAGGGCATGTCGCCAGCGGGTCACGAATGCGCGCTTGTCCCCCTGAACACAGAATGGACACATCTAACGGAATCTGAGACATGTAGCACGGGCAGGGTACATGTAACCAACCATGAATAAATGTACTCGAAAAATATAGAAGATCCGCATGTAAATCACGGAAGACAGGTACGTGCAAGCGAAACTGAATACATGTATTCGTTTCTGCTACAGGCGCGGCGTTCCTACCACTGGCGCCCCACTTCACGCGGGGCCCGCACCCACGGCCACTCGGGCATCGCCACTCCTCCAGCATAGCATCAATGAGAAGAAACCGCGCTGCCCCACCGCCCCCAGCGGCGATCTCTTGGTACCGCGCTACCTGCAGAGCGCGACACTGCTCTCGCCGCCCGCAATGGTGTCCCCCATCTCCGTGCCGCAACGGACACTGCGACCAAAGGTAGCGTGCGTCACGAAGGATATCCGGCTCATTCCGCGCGCCGCCGCATCTGGTCAGCGTCGTCGCTTCCGCGACACTCGATGCGCCATCTCCGCGCCAATCCAGAAGACTTTCGCCGCGCGCCAGTTCAGATCCCTTGCCCCTCCCACTCGGGCGCCCGAAACAGTGCTGTTCTTGGCCGGGCCCCGAGAAGTGTAGCGCCCGCCCCTGGGCTATCCACCCACGTCGTCTCCTACTCCGAGATCAACAGGGCCCTGCGGAGCGTACACCCCAAAATTGGGGAGCTGCGGCTGAATCCTCCTCCCGCCCGCCCGCCTTCTGTCCTTCCAGCGGGTCTGTTCTTCCAGCGGGTGAGTACAGCTCCCGGCGCCCATGCACCGTGCCATGCCTGGGCTCTCTGCAGGCCTTGCTCTCGCGCCGTACGGTGCGTAGCCTTTCGGCTCTGAGGGCCAGAAAGTCGCGGCTTGACGACGCCTCGGAAGGAATTCAGGAATATCTAGCGGCCCTCGTTTCTGCAACCAGTGTGGAACATAAGGAATCCCTGGGAATCCTGACACGTATCATGATCATGACATCTTGCTCCTCCGAGTGCTTACTCCCAACCTGCCACATAGACGGCCGATAGAACCACATCGGGGTGGTCCCGTTCTGCCCATTCAACGCAATCGAAGGTCAACGTTTCTCCTTCCAGTATTGACTGTTTGCCATCAGCGTTGTCAGATGCGCGGCAGAACAGGGCACGGCGCGAAATGCCGCGCTCACCTCAGCGACGAGCACAGTTAGAATCGTTTGATTCCGGTGTCGCGGAGGCGGCCCCAGCGACACAGTATGCCCCGCAAGCGGATGGCGTGTAGCTCCGCCCTGCGGGGCGGGAGGTTGGGAAAATCTCGGAAAGTTGACGCCTGGGGATTGGCATGTGGTCAGCATGTCGCGCCAAATCGTGGTGCCAGGGCGTCGCTACACGCATACGACAGAGCATACTGCTATGAGATATCTAGGGGCACATTCAACGTCGGTCGATTGTCCCAAGATGATCAAATGTTTCTGTGTGCCACAAGATATATCGGGGGACTCTAGATTTCTGTGGGGCACCTGCAGAGAAGCTGGTTTCTGATGGGATGGGCCAGCAACTGTGTAGTTCCTGAATGCTGCGTTTCCGATTGCGCGAGGAACACATCTGTCGCTCGACAAGCAGTCGGACGCCGGCTGGCGCGCAAGCGGGCAAAATGCACCTCTTGCCCAAACCCCATGCAGA